CTAGTGAGAGGATGTGATGTGTTCCCAGACCAACTCCCCAATGGTCATGTGCTGTCTCCGCCTCACCTCCAGCCTGGAGCGAGAGTGTCCTTTACTTGTGATGAAGGGTGAGTACAACCCAGAGCAGAGACCAGGGACTCGCTGCTAGCGAGGGACTCTTGAACTCAAGGGCTCATGCAGAAAGAAGGCTGACCATACAGAAAGAGGTTCACTGGGAGACAAACTGCTCTCAGGACCATTTTGAAGGAAGTTAGGGACTCCGAGGCACAGTCTCAGGAGACAGAGACAAGGACTCGTGTAATGCAGTGTTAAATGAAAGCAGAGATACAGTTGATGCTGAATTTGAGCTGGGACCTTCAAGTGCATGGATCGTAGTTATTTGGAGACAGAAAAGTGTAATTTAACAGAAGAGTGCTAGAAAAAGTGACAGATGACTACCACAGAAGTTGTTTGCCCAGTTAATGAGCTAGACAAGGGTTGGACCACTCAGGCACTTAGGGCCAATCAGCAGTGATGTCTGTGACAGTGTATAGATGAGACTTTTAATCCAGTCACGTATCTTTATGTCAGGACTGGCTCTCCCAGTGGGATCACAATGGACCACGTCTGTGGTTTCTGTGAGTCCAGTACTCTAGGCACTGGGCATTGGTGGTCTGTTAGTGAGCGGGCAGTGAAGCAGTTATTTTTAAATAATTTCTTATTAAATTATTGGCATTTTTCAAAGTTTACTCCCAAGTCCTAATTTCTGGTTCCAGAGTGAAACCAGATTTCAGCCTGTTTCAGAAGGACAACAGGATCTGATAATAAGCTGGGCATTCAGAGCAGCAGGGTGCTGCCCTCCCCTTCTCTTCTCCCTAGAAGATTTGCTTCCGTTTCTTCTGGGAGCCCCACCCTGCCCTTTACCATTGTGTTGTAAGGAGAACAATGCCCGTTCTCTCCCAGCAGTAGAGCAAGTGGGGTGTCCACAGGCTCTCGGTGCACGGTGGGCTCTGAAGTTATGGCCTGTGCTCACAGAATCTGGTCTTGAGTTCAGTGCCTTCACCGGGTGATGGTGGAGCTTGAAGTGTGCAACGATGAAGCCCGCCGGCTGTAATCACATTGTCCAGCACAGGGTACCGGGATTCTTCAGAATCACCTGGACTCGGAGTCCCTGTCACAGCTGACTGCAGATGCCTTGTGAACTGAGACTTTTAGCTGAGCTTGAAGCCTACAACCTACATGTTCTTTTGGCCTAAAATGAGGAAGTTGAGAGTCGATCAATGGAAAGATAAAGGGACAAGTGGGGAATGATTTGCTCCCTACGTATTTTTATTTTAAAGAGAAAAAAGAAAACAGTAACAAAATAACAACAATGAAATCAAAAAAACAAAACAGGATAAAAACAATACAGGATTTCAAAACAAGATGATAGGAATTAACAATGGTTATTATATTACATACTGTTATCTTCAGTGAAGTTGCTCAGATTACCAGATGTAAGAATGCAAGACTGATCAAACAAAGACAATAACAAGTAATAAAAAAAAAAATTAGAAATGATACAGAACTTCATTAAACAAGACGGTCAGAATCCAGCAATGGGTGTTATATTGCATATTGTTGTCTTCAAAATAGTTGTTCTAACTATCAAATATTAGCATGCAAAATTGGCCAAGAGAAAGGGAAAAAAAAATTAAACATTAACTGTTCCTTTCAGTAAACCAATAGACATCAGCATATACTTATCTCAGCCTTCCTTGTATGTACATATATATATTTTCTGTTTTTTCTTTAATTTTAAAGAGAAAATATCAAAAACAAAGGTATAAACCTACTTTTTTTAGGTTCCGATTAAGAGGCAGCTCTACGAGTCACTGTGTCTTAGATAACATGAACAGCCGTTGGAATAGCAGTGTTCCCTCGTGTGAACGTGAGTAGGAAAGATGCCTGTGTAGCCTGGGACAGCTCCCCTTCCTTCTCCCTAGCCTTTGCCGCACAGACTCACCTGTTATCTGGTGGTTTTATGCATCAAGACATTACTGATTTCTCAAGGCCAGACTTAATTTTTTAAATTCCTTTTTTCTAATGATCAGAAAAATGTTCATTTTGCTAGTAATCTGTCTGGATATCATATGGTGACTATTAGGGGAAACTTTATAAAAACATTCATACACAAGAAACTCAGGTATCTGACAAATGCAACCTTCCAGAGACACATACTACTGAAAATAAATATACAACGATGCTTGGATAATCACAGATAAGTAAATTTTACACATAAGAAATTAATCTTTGATGTACTAAGGCTCTTATGTGTTTATATTCACAATTCTGATAAACTTAGGTATCTGTTCCCAAATTCACATCAGATTAGAAACATCAAATTAGTTTTAAGGGACCTGTTTCAAAAACAGACAGTAACAGAGGAAGAAATGACCCCTGGTAGTTTGATAGGGGAAAAACGGTCTCCAGAGCCGTAGACTCTGGATATAAAGAGCTCCATAATTACCAGTGTAGCTGATGACACCACTGCATATTTGCTGTTGGTACTGATGATATGGCCTTGAGTCACCAAGAAACATTGAGTACAGATGCTGGTACGTGCTTCCAAAAGTACCCTGTAATTTATGGTCTCTGTGGACTAAAACCCCATTTGTTGTGTACCCACAGTCAACCTTGCAGACTTTTACTGTACCTGATGTAAAGCAGCAAAGCAAGTGGTTGTTAAAAAACTCATCCTCTAAATTCATTGAAAACTCAGCAATAACACAGGGACAGAGCACCATGTTCATGTTCGTTATCCTGACTGACACTCTAATAGAGCTTAAAACTCTTCTCTTCTTTCTAGAAATCTTTTGTCCAAATCCTCCAGCTATCCTCAATGGGATGTACACAGTCACTTCTCTGGGAGATATTCCTTATGGAGAAGAAATATCCTACACATGCAACCCCCACCCAGACAGAGGGATGACCTTCAGCCTCGTTGGGGAGAGCACCATCCGTTGCATAAGTGACAGTGAAGGCAATGGGGTTTGGAGTGGCCCTGCCCCTGGCTGTGAACTTTCCATTCCTTCTGGTCAGTACTGACTTCCATGTGTCCTAGTGGCCCAATAATCTAGGCAAGAATCTCCATAGTCTCACAGGGACAGTCATTTTTGCATATAAACATGGCTTTATCATACATGGTAGAGACAGAGCTACCTCCCAGGTGAATGACAGATGGGTTCTAGATGTACCACACTGTGTGCTAATCTGTAGCATTCCAGCTGGGCTTGCTAGTGCCCATGTGTAGTACCAACTACTCAGGAGGCTGAGCAATTAAAATCTCTTGAGCCTAAAAGTTCAAAACCCACCTAGCCCTTATCAGAAAATAAATTAAAAACAGCTAAAGTTGATGTAGCTCAATTTGGTGACACTCTGGTGGTTCCTCCTGTGGGGTGAGAGTGGAGGACGATATGGAGAGTGGAGAGAACCAATAAGCTCCAGATTTCACAGATAATATTTTCAAAGAATTGAAAGGGAGTGTCAAAGAAAATAACTCTTTTATGACATCTCCACCACTGGTTGTCTTTGTGCTAAAGAGATGGGTATGGTGAGCAAAATAACACACATCAGTGTCATAATTTACTTCAGAGCTGATAGGACTACAGAAGTCATTAAAGAAACTCAGATCTAGGCATGAGTACTTTTTGTTACTCCATAGTGTTTCGTGGGAGCCACTGACTGCACGGCTGTTGAGTTCCCTAGGAATACAGGGAATTCAGCAGCCTTGGAGAAGTGGAGGGCAGGGCTGTGTTCTCCGTCTCTGGAGTGCGTTCCTTGCACATGTTTGCGTGACTTTGAATGATAGTCCCTAACTATGGCTCATTTGTGGCTGTGATGGCCCACCCAAGCTCTCCCTCCTCCAGGAAAGACAGAACAGCATTGAGTGGGTAGCTCAGATACCTGCAGGGCTTCTACCTGACACACTACACAGCTCAAGCATACAGAGGATTGAGTTTAGGTGCTGAAGTATGAGTTAGAGAATCAGTCTTCCACTCACTAGTCTACACTTAATGGGTGGTGACTCACTTGTCTCAAGTCTTCGTGTGCCTCTAGTGGCCAAAGATATGGGTGCTGACATGTTCACACATGCATTTAACTGGAAGTCTTCTTTTGTGTTTGTGTGGGAACGTGTTCTTAGCATGCCCACCTCCACCTAAGATCCAGAACGGGCGTCACATTGGAGTACATGCAGCTTCTTATCTTCCTGGGATGAAATTCTTCTACACTTGTGACCCTGGCTACCTGGTGGAGGGATCTGACTTCATATTCTGTACAGACCGGAGAACTTGGAGCCGACTTGATCATTTTTGCACAAGTATCTGATTTTTTGTTATTTCTTATCCTGAGTTATCATAGAAAACTGGTGCATAAGGCTAATAAGCCTGAGAGATCTCTTAAAGGAGGTTGATTTAATAAGGTTGGGAAGATAGTGAGATGAGTATCGACAGAAGGGGAAAAGAAGAACAAAAACCAGGAAGGGAGGCTGCCGGGAGTATCCTTGTCTGTAATCAGGAAATGAAGTTCGTGGATGGGATTTCGAGTAATGCAGTGGGCATCACACACCAGTCTTCTGTGCTTTACTTTTAACTAGTAACTCTGCAGAACCTCAGAGGGTCACAGGTCATCCTCATACCCACCCTTCGACAGTAAGTAAGTGACTGGCAGCATACTTTGATGTGAGGAATATTAAAGCCTGAAGCAAGACAGTGTCTTATCCTCTGCGGATAAGCAAAAGAGGCTGTGAACAAGTAAATCCTGGAATCACTGAGTGTCAAGCCTCTTTTAACCCACAAGGCCAGACGTGAAGTGCTTATTTTGTCTGCCCGGTGGAACAGTTCCCCAAGAATTATTTCCTTTGGTTCAATCTGCTTACAAAAACCACACTCTGCCCTCATTTTCTGTACAGAGAACCTGGAGCTGGCTTGATCATTTTGGCACAATCACCTGATGTTTAAATCTTTCTTAACAGTGTTCCCAAAAGCTACAAATAGTGCATTAAAAATAATATGACTAGGCAGAGCTCTGAGGTCTTCCGGAAAGTTATTAGTGTTAACACCCAGAAGAATCTGGTGATATTGCATTGTTATTCTTACAGACCCACAGAGGAAATAAGGGCAGAGAGCTCCAGGAGCTAGTTCCTGTTACAAAGCTTGTCAGTGGACATCCAGGAACGGGCCTCAGCTCAGGAGCTGCTTTTTTTTTTTTTTTTTTTTTGGTAGCGGGAATCAAACTCATGACCTTAAGCTTGCCAGGCAAGCGCTTATGCCTCTGAGCTACATCCCCAGCCCCAGGAGCTGCTTTTAAACATTGCACTGAATAATGTCTCTTTTTAAAGTGGCTCCTTGGGGTTCACAAAGCTATAAGTGATTTTGCTTTCTCATTATTTATTGTCCATTCTTTCTTTTTAGCAAAGCTAGGCTATGGGCAGGGATGCCGTGGGAGGGGCCCTGGACTTGGCTGAACGTGTTTCAAATGTCAGAGACCAGTCAGCCAAGGTGGGCCCTCCCTCTCCTCAGAGTTTCAGAAACCTGTCTCGTGCTCCTAAGCCTCTGGTCTTGAGACAGAAAAAAATGAAGCCAGGCACAGCGTGGTAATCGTGCTTACTGGCAAGAATAGACTGCACCAGATGCAGGGTCCTTACAGCTCTGCACACACCTGAAAGTTCTTCTTCCTGGCTTCAGCTACCTAAAAAGAAAGTGAAAAGTCAGAAAATATTTGAAAGATGCAAGTTGAAACTCTGAGAAGGTTCTTTTTCTGAAAATAAAAGGCTAGCTGCTATCTTTTCATTTACAAAAAATATCATTTTGTCTAGTAATGATCCTCTTCAAACATGCTTGAGCTTATAGTAGGGCTCCTCCATCAGCGCTAGCAAATTAGGCCAGCAACTTTGTTTAAAAGACAGATTCTTCCGCTCCTTTCCATTGACTCTGATTCTGCGTAGAGAAGGGGTCAGAAGTCTACTTTTAACAAATCTGCTATGATATTCTCATGTAGGAAGACCACAGTACCTTGAAGAAGCACCACTTTACCTTACTGGTGCTGATAACGAGAAAAATTTGGGCTTTTTTTATTTTGAGGCTATTATAATGGAAAAGGAGGATTTGTTTAAAATTAAATAAGTTCTTGATGACTGGGCAGAAAAAGCAAATCAAAGGATGTGTTAAAAGACAACATAAGTATAATAGCGCTGTTCTTGGTTTTAAATTTTTTTAAATTTTTCTTTTTTTGTTTTCTTCTTTTATTTAAAAGTGATATTTTAAACTCAGAACCATGACTTACTTCTTTGTATAGAAATGGGACGGAAATGTACATTAAATCAAGAGCAAAATATACCAGTCTGCGTCGTATCCCTAGAGGGGCGAACACCGTATTGCTGTCTTTGAGGCGTGACCTCAGTGGACCCATAGTCGTCCTAACTTCTGGTCCTTCTATAACTTCCAGTTGCAAAGCTGTTAATAATCAAACGTATTCCACAGCCCCTTCCTGTACATAAGAAATTAAAATCAGAGAATTTTAAGGCATGAGGTGTTTAAGGTGAGAAGAGTCAAGAATACTTGACAGAAAACATCCCATATCTTTGTGGAAAGCTAAGTAAGTTTGGAGCTATAGGTCTAACATGGGTGATTTCAAGTGACAACAACATAGCCATCTTCTCTGGATTTTTGTACTTTCAGAGGTAAAGTGTAACCTCCCGAGTGCATTTATGAATGGAATCCTGGAGGAGTTCAAAATGAGACAAGAATATCACTATGGAGATACCATAATTTTGCAGTGTGAGGATGGGTACACACTGCATGGCCCTCCCCGGAGCCAGTGCCAAGCGGGTGGCAGATGGGCCCCGCCTCTGGCAAGCTGCACACCTCGTGAGTACCAGTTCCTGGGGGATGTAGCCCTTTTCAGCCATGGTAGTGTTCATGTTCCACCCGTACTGACTCCAAGCGTGCTGCGACGTTTACAGCACACACTAGGGCAGGACTTGAGGACGCACCACCTCAGGATATGCCTGAGTGCTACACTGATTATTTCATGCTGAACTCACTTGAAGAACGATAACTGCAGAAAGGGCCATTTGACCGTAAGCATTTTTTTTGAAAGATTCAGAGGTGTAGCTCAGTGTGGAGCACTTGCCAAGCCCTGAGTTTGATCCCTGTTACTACCAAAAAAAATCGTTTTAGGAAGGGTGTCTTACCCATACCAACGCAGGAAAATAATGTTGATCAGTAGACACTGGAAATTGGGGCTGTAAAAACCTAAATAAGTAAATTCATTGGAGTAATTTTATGTCGCATCAACTTTTACATTCCCCATCCATATATCTCTTCCCGATAGCCATAGAGTTACCCCAGTCCAGAGACCCGTCTGACCTCTCGTGCCTTCACAAGTTTCTTGTTCTTATCTAAAAAGTATAAAGGTGGGGCTGGGGATTTAGCTCAGCGGCAAAGTGCCTGCCTGGCAAGTGCAAGGTCGTGAGTTCGGTTCCCGGTACTGGAGAAAAGCCAAAAACAAACAAAATTTAAAAAGTATAAAGGTATCTCGCTTAGGTGATTTCTTTGGGTTTTGCTTTCTTGCGAAGGTCTTTGATTAACATGCAAATTTAATAAAACTTGCACGTTTTTCTCTTGTTCATCTCCCTGGTATTAGCCCACTTATGCTGAAGGTTGAAATTTTTTTTGAATTTTCACGTGAAAAATTCAAGGAACAGGAATTTGAAGAGAATACATTTCGTTGTGTTCCAAAAATAGATCACTAGGCATCGGCAGGTTATTTGGTTTCTAGATCTAGCCCAAGAGGCCCCAAAAGAACCAAGGGGAAATTAAAGGATCTCTTTCCCCTACATGGAGTCAGTCCCCGCCTCTTCTCCCAAAGCCCCCTTTCTCCTTGCACTTGCTGCTGATCAGGTGCTCCAGAAGCCCCCACTGCCTTATTCTTGTCTGACCTTTAAGGATTTATTTATAACCTGTAAGCCTTAAAAGCCAGGACTGCGTCCGCGGTGGCGCAGGCTTTCAAGAGGTGCTCCCAGCATAGCCCAGCGAGAGCTGCCCTAGCAGCAGCAGGCCGGCTCCTCAAGGTTGCAGGGTGCTGCAGTATGTGAAGCTACTACTGCGGACCAAGCAAGCAGGTTTGGAAATCATGTTGAGCGTGTAAGGAGAGGCGCCCTCTGCTGGCAATTTGAGGGAGCTGGGAGGTTTAAAAAAAAGACCAAAGTGTTAACCTGTTCAGGTCAAAGGGCAGGTGAGCAAAATTAATAATGAATAGCATTTCTTAATCCGAGTTAGTGCTGGACTTCCCCCTCTCCCAGCTCTTAAGGTGCTTATTTATAATACATGTTAATCACTCATGTATAGTTCTATTTATTTTCTTTAGAAGCCAATTTGAAGATACCTAAGTATAGTACAACAACTATTGATAATCTCCTACCTCTTTTGTCTGTAACTCACTATTATTTATCTGTTTGTTTTCCTGAGAAACTATCTTGTAGATAACAATATGTAAAACAATAACCATTGATAATTTCCTACCACTTTGTCTGTAATTTGGTAAGCCCCCCCCCGTATTATTATGTTATCCTTCTTTTACTCTTTAAAATAAAATATATATATAATACATGTTAAATACGAAGACTTCCATGATCCATTTTTTACAATTAGTCCCTTAAATATATTAACTACTTAAATGTTTCTAATGTATAAATTCACCATCCCCTTAATAGCAAATTATATTCTTCTTTGGCAAAAAGTTCATTGGGTAACTGACTGTCTTAAGAGGTTCTGAGAACCTTGCTGGACTGACAGGTGGTTCAGTTCACTGGAGAACCAGCCCTAGCATCAGAATACCTGACTGGCTTTGCACCAGCACCAAAATAAACATACAAGCGGAGAAAATTGATGCAAATAAGATAAAAATTTATCATGCATAAAATGAAATTGTTTTACTGGTATATAATAGAGGCATTATAAAGAGAAAGAGAAAAGTATTAAATAACATAATTAGCATTGGAAGAACTGAAAACTTTTGTAAGTCTTAAATACAAAGTTAATAAGAGCTAAAATATTTTAAAATCTAGCTATAGAGAAATAAAAATTTTTAGAAGCATATTTATCAAACAACCAGGGCTGAGGATGTACTTGGGGGAAGAACAGGTAGCCTCTGAGCTTAGCATGCTCAAAAATCTGGCTTTGATCCTTAGCACTTTCAAAAAAAAAATGCCCACATTTTGAGCCAAAATATGATTGAAAAGATCACAAAGGTGTTAACTTTTTGACCTGTTGATCAATTTGACTGAGAACTTAGGTACTCTGAAAGAAGGCATTGGCTAGATGGGAAATATTTAGAAAATATAATGAAACGTTAATAAGATAAGCAGCAGTACTGGTGTTTGTAGTAATGGTAATAGTTGTAAAAGTTAATTTATACTGAGCACTTTGTATACTTCAAAGACCAGGTAGTGATTGACAGATGGAAAGATAGATTCTAATTTAATGCACACAACAACTTCTGAGAAAGGTAGTATTCTTTTTAGCCCATTTTCCAGATATAGAAACTAAGACACAAAAGATTTAAGTAATTTCAAAAGTAGGATATCCTGCATCCAAATAGTCTCTAACATACCAGTAGAGACTGTGTACTTTAACAATAAATAAAGAGGCAAAGATTCTAAATATCTAATTCAGTAAGAGAGAGCATGCCTATTAGTCACAGTGAAAAGAAAGCTATTAGGCCAAGGTCACAAATGAAACCAGTAAGTTACCCAATAGATGGAGAGACACATACAAAAATAAGAATGGACCAAATGACTGTTAACCAGCGGGTTCTTGGAACTCAGACCTTAGTGTCAGCTCCTCCTGTGAAGATTTTGTACGACCCAGAGTACATTGTCCCCTTCCACTCATACTCCTGGTCTCTTCACCTGGCCTGTTGTTAAACTTTGAAGTCTTGCTGTTTTTTTGTGAGAAGAGGCAAAAGAGATGAGACCATAGAAAACAAACAAGTGTCTTCTGAGACACGCTGAAAATACCAGTCCTAGGCCTTTCTACAAAAGACACCAGGAAGTAAATCGTGACAGGTCCAGGCTTGGAATGACGGCCCATGGGAAGTTCTAGAGCAAGCCACATAACAAAGGCAGCTTCTAAGTAAGGCATCAAAGAGTGAATTTCTACCACATGCCCCTTTCAGGACCCCATAAATTCAGCCTGACTCAGCCATGTCTACCTCAGAATAAGGGGTGATCTGAGCTCCTTCTTATTGCCAGTATGAGCATCTGTAACACAATTTAAGCATGTGTCTCAAGACCAATGTAAACAGTGTCGCTTGCAAGGTAAATCAGTTCAACTCCAGAAAAGATGTAACAACTAAGACATCTCCCCTGGAATCTCTCAGAAAAGTTAAAGATTGCATGATATGGCCCTTAGAAAAACGCCCTAAGATCCACTTGACCCTTTCTGTCTCCCAGGGTCACAATCATTAGAGCAACTCCCTCCCTAGAACCTAGCTTCTCTCTTTTCCACCCAGACTTTCTGTCAGAAGATCCAGTTGGCTTCTGTCCTCTTCTGCTCCCCTCACTTTCTGGGTCTTCTTCTGTCACGAAAGTGCCCATGCCATTTCTAAGGTAAATGGGTTTCCAGTTCTACATGGTTCATCACAGCACAGTCCTGTGAGAGCGAGGAAATGCAGAAGCAAGATTCAGAGAAAGGGTGTAGATATCTTTTTACTTTGGCACATAAATACATGCTACCTGTTTAACCTCAGTAGAGCTGAAGAAATGCAAAGAAAGAACAAGGTGACTTCTCCCCCATTAAATTAACAACGAAAAGTTTTAGGTGAACTCCCAATAAAAAGCAAGATATAATGAGACCAATAGCACTGCATGTTGAAAGTATCATTGTAAATTGGCAAAATCTCTTATGAAAAACAATTAGGCAATGTATGAAGAAAATAATATAAATATTCATACCATTTACCCCCTCCAGAAATCTAATCTAATGAATTAATATAAAATATGAGAATATTTTATTCATTTTATTAAGTTTCATGACAAAGAAGACTAGAAATAACTTAAATATGCCATAGAAATCATTGACTACACTATGATCCAGCCACTAGAACAGGTTATATTAGATATGGCCCCTTAGCCATTTGTCTGTGGCACTGTTTCTGCTTCCCTGCTGCCATGAACTAAGGCGCTTTGCTCTGCCAGGCCCTTCTGCTGTGACGTTTCTGCCTTGGAGCCAGCTGACCATGGACTGAATCTCCTGAAAGCTGCAAAAAAACTATTCCTCCTTTAAATTGTGAGTGTTAGGTATCGAGTCTTATTAACAGGAAAGAACTAATATAGGAATGTAGCAAAGCAAAGCATTGAGTGTTATGATTATGAGTGGTATTTTTTCTGTCATTCCATTCTACAAATTTGCTGCTCAAATTATATTACCTTTATGATAAAAGTATTAAAGAGAAAATAATCTTCACCTAGTACACAAAATAAAATGAAATAGAAACAAAACCAAAGGCTTCTTATATTTGAGAAAAAGGTACTTAACTGAGTACTGAAGAAAAATCAGGATGTACTATATTGGCTGCAGCTCCTGTTCATTAGGAAATGTGCCAGACTGAAGTTTTTACGATTTTTGTCTTTCTTTTAGGCTCACATAATGTTTTCATATTTGGTAAGTTTTGTGAAGGATTTGCCGAGAAATACTAGCATTTTTCACAGTAAGTATTTCCTTACAATGAATGAAATGTTAAAAGAGAGATCAAAATGTCTTGTCTTATAAATTGAATTAAAATTAAAAGTAAAGATGTATACTTCAGAGTATGGCTTAACTGTTATCCTCATACATGTAGAAGGTACCCTTCAGCAAAGGTGTTTTCTTGTTGTTGAACAAATCATTTTTCAGTGTCAAAAACTCTTTATTATACTGTAGCTGTAGGGGGAACACCCTCCCTGGTAGTAATCATGCCCATTTATACAAACTGAAAGCCATAAGACCAGCTTGCTGAGTTCATTTCTGCGGTCTGTTTATGTAAGGAAATCACTCTGAAATAAGAGTTTACATTCAGGAGAATTGTCACATAGAGTAGCCTGTGCCTTATGTCACATAGAAAAGACCTGGCGGGGCCATGGCCGAGCACCCAGCAGCCCCATTGCTGTTTCCCAGCTACATGTTAAGGGAGCTAAAGATTACAAAACTGCTCTGCCCAGTCCTTGACTATAACCTGCGGGGGTAAGAATAATGCTGTGTGTACCTGAGGAGAGCAGAATTTAGGGTTATGTCTTTTTTTTTTTTTTTTTTTTTTGGTACTGAGAATCAAACTCACAACCTCATGCTCACCAGGCAGGTGCTGTGCTGCTGAGCTATATCCCTGGCTAGGGTTATATCTATAAAAAAATAATAATAATAATTGGCAAGTCTGGCATGGTGGCACATGCCTGAAATCTCAGCTACCTGGGAGGCTGAGGCAGGAGGAATGCAAATTTGAAGCTAACCTGGGCAACTTAATAAAATCTTGTCTCAAAATAAAAAAGGACTGAGGGTGTAGCTCAGCAACAGAGCACCCTGGGGTGAGGAGGTTAGTGGCAACCTCTAGTGGGACTAGATATTAAGGTAAAGTTTGAAACCTCTGGATATTTTTCATGCATTTAATTACTTTGCTTTTGTTTTTTGGACTAGGCATTTCCTGTGGTGTGATCTTCTTTATTTTAGCCATAATTGTTTCCTGTTGGATATTTCTAAAGTACAAAAAGGGGTAAGTACAACCATACTCTCCAAGAATATGTAAACTGCCTTTGCTCCTCTTAGAAGTCAAAGGGAAGCAAAAGAATACCTCAGCAACAACCAAAATATTACCGCATAGACAGCTGTGGTAATTCTTATAAAGAAGGCCCTTGCTGCATAAAATAGAGAAGTATTTACACTGTAGGAAATACATGTGATACTAAGGACATTCTTAGAGCTACTGTATTAAGAAGGAATGGAGAAAAGAGATAATAGGCAGAAATTTTTTAAAAGGAGTAATGAGACTTTAGAGATCCTTTAAGTAAAAACATTCTGAACCACAGTTTCCCACAACAGTCTTTGCAGAAATCGAAGCTTTGGTATTCACAGAGATGCTAGTAAGTTTTTTAAAAAGTAGATTGTCATAGGAGACTTGTGAACAACCTAGTACAGGGGCTGGGGATTTAGCTCAGCAGCACAGTGCCTGCCTGGCAAGCACAAGGTCGTGAGTTCGATTCCCAGTACTGGAAAAAAACACACAAACAAAAAAACAACCTAGTACAGAGCTCAACTTTATAATAAAACAAAGCTGGGTGTGGTGGCTCACGCCTGTAACCCCAGCACTCTGGAGGCAGAAGCAGGAGGATCGTTGTGAGTTCGAGACCAGCCTGGGCTACAAAGTGAGCTCAAGGCCAGCCTGAACTGCATAGCAAGACCCTATCTCAAAAAGACAAAAAAAACCTGAAAAAAACAAATCAAAAAGACAAAAAAAAAAACAAAACCAAAGAATCAGTAGAGATTTATACTTAAGTTACATCTTTATCTTTCCTAACTAATATTCTGTATGTTTTGTGATTCAAAATAAAAATATTCTTTGCCCTGGTTGCTTACAAAAAAAGGAAAATAGCCTAATGCTTTACATTAACAGAAGTATTTGTGTCAATCCACTTTTTAAAATTCCTCGTTAAATACTACTAAACTTTTTTAGTTAGTTTTTGTTTTTTTTTTTTCAGTTTAAGGCTGAATTAAAAAATTTGAGAATTAAAAAATTTTTCTGTATCTGAACCCATCTGTACTTAAAACACCCAGGGAAATAATTGATCCTCACCACCTCTCTTGTAAGCAGTCATGTTTGGCGTAACAGTTGGGATGTATAGAGAGCCCTTCCCAGGCCTTGTCTCCATCCAGGAAGTTTATATTTGTAATCCCATGGAAAAGTTATTGGGATCCTGTTGTGTTAATTCCAGTCTACTACTCCCAGTGCAAGCTACGAAGTAAATAGAGACACAATAATATATCCAAAATGGTAGAGAATCAAGGAGGTTCTGAATCTGGTTAGGTTGATGATTAACCAGAGCAGAGACCTTGACCCAGGACCAAACCCAGATTTTATTAATTCGTGAAGAAGAGAGTGGCTTGGGGATAAGTGACTATGAGATTGGTGGGAAATATGTAAGTGCTGCAAGCTGGGCTGGGTAGGAGTCCTGAAATCACCTCTGCAGTATGCAGAGAGAAGGATATGCAGAAGGAGTAATCTGCATAACACAACTGAGGCAGTATGTGATGTTCAGGGGTCCATGCTTCAGCTCTGAGGTGTAATCTTTTATGCCCTGGGAAGTCTCAGCCTCTTATTCCTGAGGCTCCATCCCAGCAGACAGTGTGAAGCACAGCTCTCCATCCCACCGTGCCCCAGCTCCCATGTGTTTTATGTGGGAGCTACAAAGGGGGCAAGGGAACACTACCCTGTCATGTTTGCTTCAAAGACTGCACATCAGCACCTTGGCTGGACCAATCTGCATTGCCTAAAGCCAACTGAGGGGATAAGGAAAAGTCCTAGCCAGCTCTGTACATATCAACACATGGAAATAAGGTCAGGCTCAGCCAAACTGGAGACAATTGCTCCTCCTTCAAGGAGTTCCCCAGGTGGTCCTCCACAGGGATGCGTTCTGAGAAATGGGTCATTATGTGATCTTGTTGTTTGAACACCCAAGTTTACTTACACAAACCGAAGAGGCCGTGACACCACTAGGTGATCATAGTTCATGAGACGCTGGCGTGTGTGCAGCCTATCATTAGGGACCACACTCTTCATTCTTCACCCTTCGAATCACCTGGAGGCCCAGATTCTCAAGTCTAGCCATTTCACGCATGATCATATCCTCAATTATCCTTAAGCATACACAAGACTCAGTCACCATGTCATAGATTTCCTTAGAAATGATTATCTTGTCTGACCTAAACAACCTCAGGATACATGGTGTCTCTTTGTTTCCCATCTCTTAAAACCTGTCTTCTGGGCTTGGGATGTAGCTAAGTGGTAGAGCACTTGCCTAGCATGCGTAAGCCCCTGGGTTCAATCAATTCCAGTACAGGAATTTTTCCTGCATCCTTTAAAAGAAGTGGGGTGTCCATGGTGCAGCTAATCTGTCTCTGACCAGCGGCAGCCAAGAATGTGGGAGAGGAAGCAGTGCTGATTTCTTCTAGCCATGAAAGTCAGGTGGCCAACCTCCTAAACATCTAAGTCACTCACAGTGAAACCTGTTCTATCTGCAACCTATGAAGTTTTCAGGACGTTTTCTAAACTTTCTTTGTCGCCCTATTGCACCCTTGGAATAGTATGCTGTGATCAAAATATGTTATTTATTATTATGTTAAAAATACTGTATAACTGGAATCAGGAAGTTGGGAGTAGAGGTGTTAAATCATCAGAATGCGGAAGGCCCTTCGCGAGGACGCAGTTGGGCTGACTGTGCATCAGTCCTATTTAGAGTGGCGGCCACTGCTAAGTCAGCGAGGTGTGCCAGGATGACCGGGCTGCTTCTTACCTGGAGCTTGCGTTTGGCCCACAGGAAAACACGGGTAGAAAGGTTCTTACTGTAAAGGAAGAGTAGGTCACATCTGAGACATGATAGAGAAGTCCTTCAGGCTCATCAGCCAGAAGAAGTTTCTTTGAGAGCTAAAATGACCCACAGAACTGTGTAGAAAGTGATGGCCTGTGCCTTGGGCCACCTAGGGTCAGGCATGGCCTGTAGCAGGCCAGGCTAGGTCTATCTAAATAGACTGAAGATATGTTAAGAAACTAAAATATGACAGAAATGGAATACAGTCACAGAAACAGTCCCTCCTTCTCTGAAACACTCCTACTTTAACTGTCTTATTAAAGATTTAACTTTTACTTTCACGTGTTGAATTTGTCTTACCTGCTTTATTTTTGTAGCCTTACCCATTTTATAATAATTAATAAGTTTCTCATTATCTCTCTCCTTCCACTAAAATATAAACTCTATGAGGTCAAGAATTTTTGTCTTCATCAGTGGATACCTAACAAACCCAAACTCTCCCCAACACAAAGAGGTGTTTAATGCATTTTCATTAAACAAGTGCATGAATGCATGTGCTCAGCATCACTTAGAGTGGTACCCTGGAGGAAGCATCCTGCTATCACTCTGCCAAGTTTAACAGTACCTTTTAGTTTGTCCTAAACATAGCCCAGGATTCAAGGATGCTCAGTGTTTAATATGCCAGCTATCTCAGTCTGTATGAGTAACCATAACAAAAATCCAGTAGACAGGTGGTTTGAACAACAAGCGTTTATTTCTCACAGTTCTAGAGGCTGAACAGTCAAAGATTGAGGCATCTGTAAATTCGGCTTCTGGTGAGGACCCACTCCTAGTTAGCAGGTGGCAGACTGCTTGCTGTGCCCCCACATGGCAGAAAAAGATGCTGAGGCTTTCTGAGATCTCTTTCATAGGGCGCTAATCCCAATCACGAGGGTTCCACCCTTATGATCTAATTACTTTGCGAAGGCCCAGCCTCCTAATACCATGACATTGGGGGTTAGGATTTCAATATATGAATCGGGGTGGGGGGATGCATCCAGTCCATTGTACACCCTGAATTTGGTAAAAACAAATGTTTTAACTTGTATGACATTTCTGATGATTTCACATGCCTTCTTAATCCTCAGATTTCCCACATTCAGAATACCTAAGTACTCTGTATTTTCTGCTTCACTCCCCCAACCTTGGCCTTTCCTATGCTCTGTAGACATCATCTCTTGCCTTCATGTCCTACATCCCACTCACCACCCCACCTCCCGGGCCAGTAGCTCCCGTGAGCAGGGCCACCTGTGTTTGCTCTACTTCTACAGTAGTTCAGATTCATAATAGAAGGAGTAACAGTTAACACGGTTTTTACAAAATTCTTTACCATTTATTATCTCCCTTGGTATCCAAAGCAACTCTGCAAGGCAAATAAGTGCAATGATATTGTTAGTTTAAAACACAGAAGACTCTGGGGTGCAGAGGTAGTGGCTTGCTTCAAATCATACCAGAAAGCAACTGTTAGGAAGCAGGGCTTTAGGTTCGCTAAATTCTCAAAATCATGAACTTGTATATGCAATTTCTTTGAAAATGTCAGTTACCCATTTTTAAATTTAATTCTGTGTCACTGAAATCCAGAACTGTGTATGGTACAAAGCTAAAATGTTTATTTTCTCTTGCAATATTTTGCTCTTACTCCCTACATTTTGCTGGATTTATTTCAGCCCTTCTGGAATATTGAACTAGTACCCTTTCAGAGAATGGTATATAGCCAATCCCTTTTTACTCTATTTTGAGTTACTGGCCTGGAAGAAAATTAAACTACTTCTTCAAGAACATCTCCACATGTGGAGGTCCCGTGGAAACCATCTTGCTGTCCATTCACACAGACTCACAAGTTCTTCCTGTGACTTTGCCTCACTAGCTTGATGTTTCATCAGCAAAACTGTCTCCAGCCACACTCTGCCCTCTCGCTGTCATGCTCCAGTCAGTGAGGGATGATACACTCCTGCTGCTCAGAGCCCTTTATCCTTGTCTGTTACTGAATCTGACTTTTCCTGTCTCTACAAAACACCTCTCTTGTCCACAGTCAGATACAACGTTGAAGTCCTCATTGGTGCAGTGATGTCAGAGTAACAAAAACCTCCAGCTCATCTCCATAAAGGCATCTTGACATGTTCATACTCGCTGCCAGGCAGCAACCAGAGAGCTATGCATCCAGTAGGTTGTCACTGAGGTTGCCTTCTGCCACCCCCGGCTGCCACTGTGACTCAAGAGCACTTTCTAGCACTGTTCACCTGACCACTGAGTCACCAGCCCTCTCCTCTCTGGTCCATGGTCCTTCATCCTGGCTAACCTCCGGCCCCAGACTCTCAGGCCTCCTCTTCATCCCAAGCTTTGGTGTGTTTCTAGGTCATCCTGAGAGTGAAGAGGAGCTGAGTGCAGTGATGGTGAAGGGAGTGACTTTTATGTGCATCTGTTCTTAAGTCCTAAGCCAGCACATACACACAGTCTACAGATGGCAGGATGTATTATTTTATTTCTATAACATGAAGTGCTTACTAAGTAACCCCCAAGAGGTGGTGCATTGCTGCTAAGTGTGGGCTCATAATCACAGAGGCCTGGTTCCTGGCCGCTTACTAGCTGTGAAATCCTGAGCCAGACACTTACCCTTCCTAACTTCAATTTCCTAGCCTGTGAAATGGAGATGAGTTCCTACCTTACTTAACACACTGTCTCCCTTGTGAGGAATATCAGAAATCAGATTCAGATTAGACTGTATTTATACATGCTTATTTTTATTGATATTAAAAAGTGATTAATTTCTTTGCTTCCGGCTCTTTTTGACAACCAGTCCTTGGTATCCAAAGGTACTTGGTTGCAGAGCCCCTCTGGATATTATGTACAATCTACCATAAAGCATAAATCATCTCTAGATTACTTATAATACTCATAAGACAATGTAAATAGCTGTATTGTTTAGGTACTCATGACAAGAAAAAGTCTACGTGTCCAGCACAGTTGTAATGTTTGTCCAGTACTTTTGCTCTGTGTTTGCTGAGTGCATGGGTGTGGAGCCTCCCGACGGCTCCTGCTGTCTCTAACTGTGGCTGTCACTGGAACACGCGCCTCCTCTATTGGAGGAAAAGGAAGCCTTGTGTCAGGTTGCAGTGCCGGAAGCCATTTGTATGGTGAAGCTTGTCAAAATCTCTTGGTAAACCCCATTTACTAATCAAATTATTTTAAAAATAGCAAAATGTATTCGGACGTGGACATCTGTCTATAAACAACTTAAGAGTCTTCTGACACAATGTACAGGATGGCTTTGGAATTACTTCCCAATCCAAGTTGTCTGTTAGTACTGAAAGAGGAGGCTTGGGTATTGTTTTTCTTTTCAATATCTTTTAAAGCTATCAGGAATATGAGTCAAATTGTAACTTGAATCTCAAAATGAGGTTGTTTCAGAGCTAAAACTTACATGACTAAGATGTTTCCCTATTGTGTCCTTCTCTGCCATCTAGCAACAATAAAGATGAAAAATCTAAAGAAGTGAATGTCCACTTATGTCCCCAAGAAGGTGACTGTGTTCGTCCACAAGCTCAGCTAACAAGCCAGGAAGACAGCAGGTACCTGTATACATTCTGAATTCAAATGTTGACAATAGCCTCAAATACTGAAAATGGAAACAGTCTGAATAGCACATTGCACTAGCAAGGCCATTGATGCCAAAAAAGTTAGAAACTTCTCTATGAGTGGAAATGCGTTTAGTTACTTGTTCATTTAATTTGTTCGTTCCTGTTTCAAGGAACAAACAAAGGTGTATATTTCAAGGTATATATTGTGAATTTTGTATACATTTTTGTTATTACTGACATTAAAAAGTGATTAAATATTTCCTTTTATTCCCAGTTCTTATAGACAGTCAATCCTAGCATCTAAAGGTGATCCGTTGGTTGTGGGACCGCTGTGGATACTATTAGGACTTCCTATATACCACAGATCATCTCTAGATTACCCACAATACCAACAAGACAGTGTAAATAGTTGTTATACTGTATTGTTTAGGTACTTGTGACAAGAAAAAGTCTACGTGTCCAGCACAGTTGTAATGTTTGTCCAGTACTTTTGCTCTGTGTTTGCTGAGTGCATGGGTGTGGAGCCCAAGGGGAGGGGTGGCTGCACCTGCAGACAGCTCCTGCTGTCTCTAACTGTGGCTGTCACTAGAACACAGCGAAGGACATGCACCTCCTCTACTGGAGGAAAAGGAAGCCTGTGTAAAGTTGCAGTGCCGGAAGCCATTTGCATCGTGAAGTTTGTCAAAATCTCCTGGCAAACCCCATTTACTAATCAAATTATTCCAGAAATAGCAAAATATTTGGTTTTAATGCATGAATACCTGTTTATAAAAACTTAAGAGTCTTCTGATACAGTATGCAGGATGGTTTTAGAATTATCTCCCAGTTCAAGTTTTCAGTTAGTATTGAAAGAGGAGGTTGGCTATTTTTTTTATACATAAAGATATGAGAAACTTGAGTCAAAGTATAGTATACCTTAAAAACCTCACAATGAAAGTTATAAATTTCTTTAAAACTGAAACATATGACTAAGATAGTTTTCTGTTTTTTTTTCTCTGCCAATTGGCAACAATAGAGATGAAATATCTAAAGAAGTCAGCGTCCATTTGTGTCCTCCAGAAAACGAGTATGTTCATCCTCCAACTCAGCTAGCAAGCCAGGAGAACAGCAGGTACTTGTCCATAATACTGAACTCAAAATGTTGCAAGAGCGTAAATATTAAAGATGGAAACAGAATTGGAATAGGCAATTACACTAGAAAGCCCACTGATGGCAAAGAAGGTAGAAACGACTTAATGAGCTGGGAGTACAGTTGTGTGTTGATGTATGTACTTCTTTCTGGAGTATTTGCATTTCCATTTCCACTCAACAGTTCTCCGTGAGGGCTCTGGCAGCCCTACAGCCAGACACTGCATTTTGAAAGCATCCTATGTTTTGTGATGCATGCTATGAACCTGTGAGCTGTAACACGCTTCTGTGTCCTTGGCAACCCCCGCATGTGCTGCCTGGGTGCGCCTCCAAGCTCCGGGGTCTCCATTAATGTGTAAGCCTGGGGTTTCCCCTGGCTTCTTCCCTGAGTTCTGACTTTCACCGAGTCCTCTGCTTCCTGGGGCCTCCTGAGACTCTCTCTTCTTACTCTCCTCCACTGTGGTTTCCCTCACCCCAACCCATCGTTTCGCCTCCTACACGCAGCCTCACCATGGGCCACTGTGTAATAAATGGGGTGCAAAAGAAAATAGGACCGCAACTTAGACCAGCATGACATATACTGAACATCACAGGTCAGGAAGCAGACAGTAACTAACTGTGCAGGGACCTGCAGACTACTGTCTATGGCTGGCCCAGCAGGAGGCCACCTGGGTCTGCTCCTCAAGCCTCACTGCACAGCCACACCCATTGGTTTCCCTGCTACCCGTGGCTACTTTCCCACTGCAGCAGCATGGCTGAGCAGAGACCGCGGGGCTCCCAAAGTGCAGGTGTTTACTTACTGGCCCACTGGTGGAAGAGTTTGCCGCCCCTGAGCTGTGTCAGGCCACAAGGAATTTCTCACTGCTCCCTGCCTCCTGCTTTAGCTTGCCTCCCCTTCTCAGACTCTTTCATCAGGCGTGCCTGCCGTTTGGTCATCTCTTTGCTGTATACTTCAGGGTACCTCTTTCAACTCTTGGGCCTCTCACAGATTCAAAGCTCCATGTTTCTGTATCATGCAGAGCACTTGGCCCCTTGCTTACTCCTGTGCCCAGGAACCTAACATACTCTACCCATGGGTTCTCAGGTCATTTTTAGCAGTAATAGTGCATATCCCTTAGTAAGCCTACTTCCGGAGAAAGCAGAAGCAAAGGCACCACATTCATAAACTTCCAGTGTGTCCCATCTCTTTCTCACATTGATACATGTTAACCTAACCCTGGTACTTTATATCTATAATGTCGCAAACCCTAAACTCAACAAAGGACAGTGGAAAGGACCACAAAAGAGAAGGGAACAAAAAAGGCATATTTTTAGTTGACCAAGATAAAAGTAGAGACAGCTCAAATTTTTCTAAGCAAAAATCTACCAAGTTTGTCCTCTGTTCTACTGTACTGGAAATGTACTTCCAATGCCCTCTGTTTATTATCTGGCTTCCTAGGTACTCTGCTTCTGTCTTATAGCCTGTTTTTCCTTACTATTCATGAAAGTGAATTAAACATGCATTGCTTTTTTTAAGAAATCAGAATGGATATTTTAGTTTTTGAAGCTTAAATGATACTTTTCTTACTATAAATGGGTATTTGCATGTGCCTGGGGATATACAGTTAGTATACCAAGAGGATATAAAAGTCCTGAGGTGAAAGTAGCATGCTGTCCTAGAACTATACATTTCCCAGTGTTACTCCAATAGTTGGAAGGGAAAATGGTACTATTTTTATATGGATACAAAATCACATGTAAGGGAGCAGAGACTCTGAGACAAAGACACAGAATATTGTGCTTTGGTGCATGCTTTCAGGTATGCCTGCAAGGTACATTTTCCTTTACTACAAAGATGCAAGGATGGAAAAGTTGTACAAAATTGATTCCAGGCCAGATGTGCCGTCACATTATAAACAGATTGCCATTTTTAAATGTTTTATTTTAATTCCATTAGTGCTTAAAATGTACTTTACTTAGAATCATTACCTGCCTAGAACACGTATCCTTTCTTGTTGTCTAACTTCCGTCAGCCAGGCTCAGGATTCCCTCCCCAGTCCTGCTAAGTCACCCCGGTCCAGCATGATGTCTCTCTGTGAAACTCTCTGCAGCATTTCCTGCCTGGACCATTTTAAGGATAAACTTTTTTTTTTCAGAGCAGTAGGTGCTCATGATTGAAAACAGGAAACATGCAAAAATACAAATGTAAATGAGCTGCAACAGATTCCACCCAACAGTAGTAAATAATTTTAAACTTCTTTGCCCATTATTTTACATTTGCAGGTTATACTTTGAGATTAAATTGATTGTGCAAAAGAATCCTGCTTCTTTTCACCAGTGGAAATTACTTCTCTCATCCCTAAAACTGTATATAAATACATCACACAGTATTTGACATTCATGTGTCTTTTTTCCCTTTCAGCTATTACATTCATTCAGTTGTCCATTTATCCTTCCTTCATTGGCCATGTATAATGCACTATATATTGTGCTTTTTCTTTTCTTTCCCATACTAAATTATTAACTGCTTGTGAGTAAAGACTTTTACTTTCAATTTCCTAGAACGTCTGAGTACAGAGTGAACTAAGTACATATTCTGTAAATACCTGAGCATTAAATTTATCACAATTTCATTTTTCCTCAACGTTTGTAAACACCTTCACAACAAACTGCACCTCAGCCTGTTGACTGTTGGTCACCTTTAAGTAGAAAGGCAGAGGTCCTTAACAACTGCCTCACATTTCCTTTTACAATTGGAATTGTGCCCAATTAGCAGGAGCGAGGTTATATGTGGCAACATATAATGGATGAGCAGTAAGTTGGAATCGGAACCCAGTTAAAGACCTGTACCCAGTTAAAGACCTGTACAGGTCCTGGGGCAGAGTGGGTAACCCCGGTAAAGAGGCAGGTGCCAGAGACCCAGCTGTGTGTTTGGGGGTGCCCAGCTGGACTTCATAGGGGTCTGTCCACGGGTGGGAAATAGCATTCCTGGCTGAAGAGGAGAGGCTTTGCACAACCAGAGAAGCATTCAGATATGCTTGGCTGTAATAAGAGGAGGGTGCCATACTTTGTGAAGCTGACACCTTCCAAGGCTGCCACCACTGTTTACTGCCCCACACCACCAGTTTTCCACAGGGACACAACTGGATCGTTATATGTTACAAGCGACTTGTTTGTGTTCTGCGGTGAGGCTCTTTTCATTTCACTCTTCAACTCTGAGAGCAAGTTTTTTGCAAAAGAGAAAGGATGGGGGTCCAGTTACTTATTGATCTGGTTCTTATCTACTCTCAGTTTTCCCCACTCTGCCCGCGCCCTACACAGCAGCCACAAGAGGGCAGTGAGCACAGCCGGTGAATCTGTAGTTTCGATGTGATGCCAGCGGTGTGATGGTCAGCACATGTGTTCTTGGTGGTTCACCATGCTGCAGTCTAAATAAAGACATCTGTTATTTCAGTGGCCCTCTTCAACGAAGTACTGGAGAGCTGCTGGAAAACACCTCAGGTTCCGTGTTGCTTGGAGAGGCGCCAACTCCTGTCAACAGAGTAAGATGTGAGATTCTGGTATCTCTGAAGTGACTCCACAGAGATGAAAGCCCACCCCCCGAAGATGCAAAGCTTTCCCAGTATCCAGCAGAGCTGCCCCGCTCAGTCTGTGTCACAAACCCTCCCTAAACTCCCTGCCCTCTAGTCAGGGGACAAGACTGCACTTTGGGAAAAAAAAACAAACAAACAAAAAAAAAAAACAAAAACAAAAAAACGGCTGCACTTTGTAGAGAAAAGCTTTGTTTACTTACAGGGAGAAATGATTGCCTAGCAGTTCTGCTTTACAAGTCTGTCACTTGCCTTTCTTATTTTAAAATGTTTATAACATGAAATGGGCTAGTAGTACTTGGAAAATGCAGAAAGAGGGGAAAAATAAATTAGCCACATATACTGCTTAGTGATAACCACTCTTAGCACTTTAGCTCACTTTCTGTCAAGCTTTTTTACATATCTGTTCCTGTGCACACTTATCTTTCTTCAATAATCTCTTTGTTTTATAGAGCAGCACTTCTTTAGATGAATTGGAGTAAAATATATATCAGGTTTTACTTTTTCTAGGGAAGGAAAGTGAATTTTGTTTACTGAAAAGGTGTTAAATAGTTATAGAAAGAGTAGCCAAGGCTACTGAGGTAAAGCATCCAAAAAATTAAGCTCTGAGTATTTTCTAATTTCTTTTTCTAGAGCACTTTGTGTTATGTATAAAAATACGTTATGTATAAAAAATGAAAACTTGAAATAAAAGAATAATTCTTATTATAAAAGTAGTTTTTTGTATGTATTAAGAATACATTAGATTAACTAAAAAGCACAACTTTTACAAATGTATCCACCAGTGGATACTAGGAGGGGTAAGTTCTGGTGTCATACTGCAGTGGAAAACCATAGATAATGATAATCTATTATGTATTTCCAAAAAAGCTAGAAGACAAGATTTGCAATGTTTTTACATTGCAAAAAAAGATGAACATTTGAGGAGATAGGTATGTTTGCCTGACTTGAATATTATACATTGTACACATACATGTAACAAAACATCATTTTTTTTTTTTTTTTTGGTTTTTTTCCGGTACCGGGAACTGAACTCACGACCTTGCGCTTGCCAGACAGGCGCTTTGCCGCTGAGCTAAATCCCCAGCCCCACAAAACATCATACAGTACCTCAAAGTATGTACAATTCTGCATCAATTTTTTTAAAGATTTTGTCAAATTAAATGTTATTGTTGACACTTTAAAAATGAGTGGCCCCATATGCTTTAGCCATTCCACATCTTTATAGCACAAAAATTTGTTATATTAAGGACCACGCTACAATTTCTAGAAAGTATCAGAACAGGTCTGCATAACAGCTCCATAGAATTACTGCTGACTGCTGCGCACGTCTGTGTGTTAACAGCGGCTTTAATGTGGTCTTTCACATTTCTCCTGACACCAGCATAAGGGACGCTCTAGACACCAACTTGAATTTCAGCTTAAAACTGTGGAAGATGGAAAAACAGTGTAAGGAAAGTTCACTGACAAAAGAAAAGCAACGCAACTAGTATCACAAAAAAGAACTGCCCTCTTTAGAGAGTTCTCAACAGTTCAAAGACCAGGCCTTTGGTGGACCCTGCCTCCCACGGACAGGCACACAGAGCCGAGAAGAAGGGTAACTAGCCTGTGAATAGATAAAAACGTACTCACAGATGGGGCTTTCCCTCATCCAGATCTTTAGCAAATCTCTATTATTTCTTGGGAGATTGAAAAAATAATATTTAAAGGAGGACAAGAGGCCAGGTGTGTTGGTATGTGTCTCTAAACCCAGCTACTTAGAGGCTGAGGCAGGAGGATTGCAAACTGAAGGCCAGAATAGGTAGTTAAGCAAGACCCTGTCTCAAAATAAAAAATAAAAGCAGGGCTGAGGGTATAGTGTGGGGCCCTGGGTTCAATCCTGGGAGGCGGGACAGAGAGGACAGAGGAGGGGGAAGGACTAGAAATTAAATGCTTGAGAATTAGCCTTTCTTTGAATTAAAAGTTCTTGCCACAAGAAAGAATTCTGTATTATTTTTCCATATAGTGGAGTGGATCATTGAGCAAGCTGAATAACAAACATCTAATGCCTGTGATTTTAACTACAAGAAAACCTTGAGGTTATTTTTCTATTACATTAGTTATCATGGGAAATATCATATATACTGCAAGAATAAAATGCTACATCATCCAACTTGTATTAGTAAGTAATTCTCTTAACCTCTGACCTTAAAGTTTTCATCGGAAAAGCAGGGGCTGGACCAGTTGTTTGACAAAGCTATTTCTAGTGCTAAAATATGAACTTCGATTTTTGTTTGATTTTTGTATAATAGATGTGAGGTGCTAGTTGAAGTCTGTGACTTTCAAGTGCGGGTGGTGGCACGTGCCTGTAATCCTAGCACTCTGGGAGGTTGAGGCAGGTATGGTGCAAGTTCAAGTCCAGCCTGGGCAATTTAGCAACTTACTGAGAGATACTGCTCCAACATAAAACATAAAGAGGGGCTGGGGATGTAGTTCAGAGCAAAGGCACTGGGTAAAATCCCCAGTACCACTAAAAAGATACATTTATGATCTTTAAATAAAATTTGTTCACTCTGTCCAGAGAGAAAAAAGATTCATCTTTCCAAACCTATTTATTAAATATAATTTGTTATATGTTTACATTTTTAAGCCTTCAAAAGGCAAGGTAGAACAAATGAATAGGTGTTCCTTCTGAGAAATGCCCTTGTTTTCCAAATCCCTGTGTAGGTGTGGCACACCACACTCATGTTCCCGCTGGGAAGTGAAAAGGAAATCAGATATGATTAACTGAGGGTCAAGCAGATGGCAGGTGCTTAGGAAGTACAAATTAGAGGCCCGTGGTGCTGCCCTCCCAACTTCTTTTTCTTTTTTTCATTTTGTTTGTTTGTTTTTCTCCGGTACCGGGAATTGAACTCACAACCTCGCGCTTGCCAGGAAGGCACTGTGCCGCCGAGCTAAATCCCCAGCCCTGCCCTCCCAACTTCTGCAGATCACAGTGTAAATATGCAAAGACTCACCTAACATCCCATGTCAAAGAAGCTGGCTAATGACATCCCCACGCACCCCTGTGGCTGCCTCTTGTAAAGTCCTAAAGGAAGTCTGTATGTCAGTGTAAACCTGGCCCACAAACATACACATACATCTTCTGCTCTTTTTAATAGTTTAACAAAATCCTTAGCAGGAGTTGAAGGAACCCCTACTTTTAATCACTGAGTTCATTCCAAGCTCTGACTCCTGACTTCTACCACTACCTCAGAAGCTCATTATCCACACTCTGCCTCTGAATTAGTCAAGAAAATCCCAAGACAAAGCCGAGCCACACACAGTAGCTCCATTTCACAAATAAGTTTGTAATGCCTTACAAGTTTTTCTGTGGGACTCTTAAAATCTCAGAACTTTCACAGCATGTGGTCAGTTCCTGCAGGGGAGAACGGGCAGAGAGAACTGGCAGATGTGTTAATGCACTTGAAACGGGGAGCAGGACTCATTTATCCCATAGTGTTTATCATGTGTTCATTGGGCACTTACTGTAGATCTTGGCATTGAAATACTGCATGAAAACTCCACCCCTGACACATGGAACTTGCTCAGAAAAGTAAGGAACAAGGCCCAGAGCCTTGCAAACAGAGCCTTAGTTGGGTCAAATCAAAATTTTAGAAAACCATTATGAAATTCTTTATATTAAGAGTGGTCTGATGAACCTGAAGGATAGAAATTTTACTAGCTGGAACAAAGTTTCAATAAAATAGTAATCCTTGAAAGTAGGGAAAGAAACAGTAGCCAAAATATTTCTCCTAACTTTCTAATGTGCTTACCAAAAAAAAAGAAATCTTACTTCCAAGTCTGGAAATAAAGGGGAATGTAATATTTATTGTTGCAGAGAACAGTAAGAGATTCTGTTTTCACAAATATGTGCTGATACTGAGCCACATAACCTTTGTCATAGCCCTCGTTCACAGCTGTCGGCATTAACACAAACACTCATCCCTCCCTCGAGTTTCCTGTTCCCTGTCTCCTTTCGTACACCTTCTCTGATTGTCGCTGTGGAATAGCTGGCTTTTGTATTATTCTCAGGTGTCTATTCTGTACACCATCTCCACATTTAATGTCTGTCTGCCCTGCCAAGGATTTTAAAAGCTGCTTTCTGATAATAAGAGGGAATTCCATGGTTTGGTGAACCCAGGAAATCTTCAAGACATCTCAAATACAGATATGTACAAGTAAACTCTTATAATTTCAGAGGATGTGTTTGAGGTTGATGTCATGAGCCTCAAAATCCCCACCACTGTCTCTCATACACTAACCCTGTGCAATACAGCTTCTACCCCATCATCCTATGCACAAAACCATATGCATATATAATAAAGGATATAATTCATAACTATTAATTAAATTACAAATAAATATATTATAAATTGAAAATCCTTATCTGATTCCAAATGTGAAAAGCACATAGAAAATGAATTTCAAATTACTCTCTTTTATGTGTATCAATATAATACTTTTGTTTTAATAAAAGGTACGTTGTGATTTAGACTCTGCCTTTGCATTTACAAATATATCAAGTTCTCCAACTAGTATTCTTTTATAATGCTGGCTGCATAGAATGCCATCACATAAAGTTACCTACCATTAATTCCTTAATAATTCTGCTGGACACTTAAGAGTTTAATTTTTTACAAAACTAAATTTTGGTTCACAGCTCTGATTTCTTTGGGATAAATGCTGAGTGGCACTGGAGCCCAGAAGTCACATTCACTTGAAGGCTTTTCGTGCACACTGAAAAGTTATGCTAAAAATTAAAGCACTGCTGAACTTCCCGATGTGTTCATTCACTGGTTGATGTTTTTATTCTTTGCCAATCTGAGAGAAAGCAAATGTCAACTTTGTCTTTTGTTAGCAATGCCAGTTCTGCTGCCTTTTTTATTTTTAACCAGCAATATGGGCTTACTCACAACTCTGCAAATCAGTTTTCCTCAATCTTAATTTTCCAGCATTGTTTGAGAAAATTTCAGCAGAAAATATTCCCCCCATCCATTTCACGGGATTCCTACCCGCACGGTTCTTGCCGCGCTTAGCTCTCTTGGCCCACCCTTGTCTTTATATTTTTCATGCAGGTACACTATACTTCGTCGCCAACAGGCCAGCATTTAATTGCTCAAGGGCAAGAGGGTGCTAATGGCCTGGCAGTGCTTAATAATTTACCTTCCCCTGCGCCTCTCAAGGGAGGAAGAGAAAGCACAGGTTACCTGGGGAATGGTGGCCAAGCTCTGCAGATTTTGCATACTGCCACAGAAGGCCATGAGAAAAGTCAGCAGCATTCAAGCAAGAAAAACTCAAGCTATTGTCCCAAATAACGCCTGCCCGAAGCCAGACCCAGAGTAAGGGCCTGGTCGTGCGGCAGCCTAGGCTAAGCAGAGCTCGCTGCTGCAGCCTGGAGTCTCTCCTTTTAGGTGGCTGGGCTGCTTTAACCGGAGCTCCGGAAATGATGACAAGGCCAGCGTTGCTTGGGAATCCCTCCTGGGTAGGGTGGCAACCCAGCTTGTACCCACCGAGGCTTTCCGGCACGCGCCGGGGCCATCAGGGTGGCCTGCGCGGGGCATAGCCGGAGGGCACGAGCCCAGGGCCGGAGCAGTCCGCAATCTCTGTCCCCTGCAGGTCCTGGACAGCCACGCCGAGGCCCTGCCCACCGCGTCAAGGCCCCGCCCTATGCTCCTAGGATTGGTCCCACCCGGTCTGGGCCCCGCCCTGCCGCCTGCCGATTGGTCCATCCAGCTCCGCCTCAGGACCCTTACAGGCTGTGGCCACGCCCACCCGGCCTGTGGCCCTGTACCCTGTATGAGTTTGAGATTGTTGCGTCTGGACGAGTGGGCTCAAAGGGGACAACTTTGTGCTGCCAGGTCAGTTTCCTGCTCATCTCTGGGAAGATGACGGCGTCTTCCGAGCCGTGCATGGCGCCTCCTCGCTACGGCAGGAGTCGCGCTGCCGGCCGGTGGCGCCTCCTGGGCGCCTGGCTGCTGGCGGTGGGATCCCTGCTGGCTGCCTCCTCTGGTAGGACCTGGAGCGGGGCGGGGCCGGTGCAGGCGGCTGACGGCTGGGCGCTCGAAACTGGCCCGGCCCACAGCCAAGCTCGCTGCGAGCTCGCCCACGGAGCCAGGCCCGGGGCCTGCTCGGCTTCGGCGGCAAGGGCGCAGTGTCCCAGGCAGGGATCCGGGAGGCAATGTCAGTGCCAGGCTTAGACGTGTGGGTTTGTGTCTTCGTGAAGTCTCCTTGGTACCCCAGACAGAATTGAGCCTGGTTCACAGGTGATCTTGTTTTTTCTTTTCTGCCTGTCCATTACCTAAAGGCTTTTGACATTTACCCCTTTTCATTAAGTCACAGTTGGAAGAAGCAACCTAAAATTCATTGTTAAGCAAGCCTACTGCGAAACTGAACCCTAAAAAAGGATTGGTCACTGGGCGTGGTGGCTCACACCTGTAATCCCAGCACTCGGGAGGCTGAGGCAGGACGAGCGTTGTGAGTTCGAGGCCAACCTGAACTGCATAGTGAGGCCCTGTCTCAAAAAGATTAAAAAAAAAAAAAAAAGAATTGGTATATAATATTAAGCTGGCTTGTTTTAGGTTTCATTGAATGGGATACTTTTAAAATGCTGTAGAATACATCCTCCTCGGATAAAACTTATACAAAGGCTGTCCCTTCCGAACGTCCTGTATTGGTGGTGTTTCTAGGCCAGGTGATGAGTCGGGTCCCTTAATGCTGAATTTTTTTCCTCAGCAACATCTACTGTCCCAGGCCCTGGGCTGCTCCTGGGGAAGGAGTGCTAGGCAGTAAGTGACAGTCCCCACTTCCACGATCTTTATCTCTCTGTTTACATGCACATACATGCATACATATACTAGGCAAGGACTTTATTTCCATCATGGATAACCCCAGTGCCTGACACATAGTAGGCAATCTAAATATTTGCTGAGATTTATCAACAGATATTAACTAAATGTGATTAACGAATTTATTGCAAACCAAGAGGAGTGAAGAGGAGAGGGGCACGATCTGAGTGCCCTTGACAACTGTCAGAGGCAAGGCCCATGCTCCTGCTCATCAGACAGGCCCAGCGGCCCACATCTGCTGTCCCCTAGGCCTTCCTTGGAACATTTCCTTTCCCTCCCGCTACACCAGGCTGTTTGATCCCAGGGAGGCATCTGGGGTGTCACCTGCTTAAGGAGACCTTCTCTGACACACACATCAGCTCACACACCCCTCGGTTTGTCATGGCCCCCGTAAACTAGCTTTTCTGTTCTTTACCTCTCTCCTTTTCGAGGCAGAGATCTTACCTATTTTGTCACACTTGTGGTTCCCAGTGGCAGATTTTTAGCCTCAGTATCAACACCTTTGTTAAGTACCAGAGAAGTATCATATTTGCCAGCAGCTTGGAGCACAGAAAACAATTCCTCCCACTTCCAGGAGGAAAGTCCTTTAGAGAGTCATGCTAGGACTGTCTTTCCATGGTGCTAAGGTAGGGTCAGGTGACATCAGGAGGCTCTCCAGGTCTCCGGGCACCCAGTCTTGCTTCTTAGTGCTTACAAAACAGTTCACCTCTAAAGGGGCTAATAGGGGTCCAGGGTGGTGTCACATGCCAAATAATCCCAGCACTGGGGAGGCTGAGGCAAGAGGATGGCCTTGAGTTCTGGGCCAGCCTGGGGTACATAGGGAGACCCTGTCTCAAAAACAAAAACAAAACACACAAAAGAGGACTAGGAATGGGGAGCAGGGTAAAAGGTAAAGTCAAGAGAGATGTGAAAACTAGCAACAGTAAAGCTGAGAACGCACTAGGCGAGGCAGGGAGAATAGGGATAAAGTAAGTGGCTCACTTTTGAAGCAGCTTACTCTCATGAAAATTTGAGGTCACAGAGGGGCATTACTCAAATGGTGAGACCAGTCTCCTCCCTCCAGAGGGGGGCTGTTTTTTGAGATGAAGTCCACAGGCTCTTATTATGAAAGGTCTCATCTGCTGATTTTAGGGTTTTTTCTTTTGTCCAGTTAAAGAAACCAAGATCACAAATGCTTATGTGGGGTCTCAGCCTCCTTACTCCACATGCGAAGGGTGCAGAGTTATGTGGTTGATTGCTAGGTTTCTAGAATACTGGGAGTAGGGCTGGGGACATGGCTCATCGGCACAAGCACCTGCCTGGCAAGTGCAAGGTCCTGAGTTCAATTCTCAGTACAAAAAAAAGAAAAAATAACCAGAATATTGGCAGGCAAGAAACTAAAGAAGTGGCCAACTCACCCTTCACCAGTGCTTAAAAGCTTTAAGAAATGATCTGCAGTACAAAACTCATGACAACATAATCTCTATCATTGCTGTGTGCCTGATGGTAGTGGGAACAGCTACTATAAGGGGCACATTGTAGTAGGAGTGTGGTCACATTGTGCATGGGGTCAGCTGTGTCAGCTGTGAGACTCAAACATCTGTGGTGGTCTCCTGAGAAACGCAGGCTGGGAGAGCCCACAGGAGGGCAACTGGTCAGTCCTGCCAGGAGAAGGCAGAGCATGTTTCCTAGGCGGGATGATGGGTAGATTAAGTCTAGGGAGACAAAATGCAGGAGATTTGGTCCTCAGGAAGACACAGTCCCATATGGGTCTAAACAACAAAGTACAACAGAAAATGAGCTACAAAAGGACCCACTGGAGCCCCATAGGGACACAGAACCCAAGTTTTTTAAGACAGCAATGGCAAGCAGCTTCCAGGAAGAAGTGCTATGAAGAGGAAGCTGGGAGGGGGCGGGTGGGAGGAAGGGTCTCTGAAATACAGTGATGCCCACAGGCCTGTAGGGCTGAACACCACAGCCAAGACAGGCACTGTGTGAGCAGAGTCTGGCAGCAGGGACTTTAAAGGTCTGTGGGTCATACTAAGGAGCCTCTAACATGACCCTGAAGTGCTGCGGAACTACTGAAGGTTGTCTTATCAGGGTCTTCTTGATGACTGCAGTATATCGAATACTCTGGTCAGAGTGTAGTCGATGAATTCAGTGATTCAGAGAAGCCAGAAAAGGAGAAAAGACACCTGAGGAGACCTCCTCAGAAACACTCAGAGCAGCACGGATGAGGAGTGAGAGGGGCTCCGGACAGGAGAGTGCCGAGAGGCTGAGTAGGCGTGGCAGCTGGGGAGACAGAGCTTGATGCTTGCGCTCGTGCAGAAGTGCGGCTTCGCTGTGTCACTTGGGACAGGGGACAGGTCCCCAGATGAGCTGTGCAGCAGGTGAGGCAACTGAACATGTGACCTGGCACCTGCACCGGGGAGAGGGGTTTCGAAGGCAGCTGGCGTCCGTGGCAGTGAAGATATGGGAGGGGGACTTGCACAGTGAAGAACACCAGGTCCTCAAACAGAAGCCACAGACCCACCTGGGGCCTGAGGACAAGCTGAAAACCAAGGCCCATATTTTCTGGGAAGCCAAGGGCAGAGTGAAGGCAAGAAGGATGAACTGGGTAGTTCCAGATGCCATCAGGAATCTGATGAACTCCCCAGGAAGAGACTGTTAGTGTGAGTTTAACAAGGAGGAACCATTTGATGATTGTGAAAGTGATCAATTTATGGCCCTAGAAATGAGGGAAATAAGGAATACGCGTGTCACCAGGTATAGATGTCAGAGTCTGCATTTTGAGGAAGCAAAGGTTTAGAAACAGGTTGAGACACAAAAAGTTACACAGCACATGAGGATGAGGGCAGGGGAGAAAGGGAATGGAAAATGATCAAGATATGGTCTATACATGGACCAATTCCCCAAAATAAAGGTAATTATTCTGTAACACAAGCTGACACCAATAAAAACAAACCAGCTGTGAGGATAGGAGACAGAACGAGATAAGATGGTCAGGTTTCATTGCAGTTCCAGTTTTAGTCAACTAGCAGGGGTTTCTGGTATCTGAGTGTTTTGTGTGCACCTGTCAGAGCAGCGACTTCTGTGAGCAGATTCTAAGGTGCACAGTTTGGGGATCCAGTGTACAGAGCTGCTTCACTTTACTAAACTCAACTGGGGACAGCCGATCATACTGTAACAGTGGCATCCATTGTTACAGGATGGTGTCGCAGATTAAAATTAATCATCTTGTAACATATCTAGAAGTTAAGACACTGAAGCCAGGGTGTGTGATGTGAACATCTGAACAGGAAGGAAATTCAGTGTTCCAGGCACTGGCTTCTGTTTTGGTGGTCCAAGGAAATCCTACAGTGATGTTCTACATCCAGAACAGAATTATAGGATGTTTCTAGTCCCTCCTTTTTCTTATTATAAAATGAAAATGTAGCAATCCTAGTAGTGTGAAGGCAGAGGCAGGAGAATGTAAAGCTGGAGGTCAGCCTGAGCTACATGACAAGTTCAAGGCTGGCCTGGGCTACATAGTGAGACCCTGGCTCAAGAAGAAACACAACTCTATATTAACTCTTTTTAAAACAATGATTTAAATTACTGTAGCTTTTTATTGTTATTTTAGGCCACTGACCGAGGAATGTTCAGAGCTCAAGGTCAGCATAGTTGAAGTGAAAACATTGTCAGTAGGTGGATTGCAGAACAGAATATAGATAAAATACTGGATGGGACATGGAGATACTTTCAGAATGCAGAACATGACATGTGGTGAAAGGAATATTTCTCATGTTTAGGGAAATAGACTTTGTCCTCAGATCCTTACCTCAGGAGAGGCATTAGGAGTCTTTCAGCAACTTAGGGCTTTGCTTAATGTCATCTTATTTTATATAATTGCCCTAATGGACTTGTTAGGTTTACGAGTGCACAGATAGTTGAAAGGATGGTGAATTGCTAAAGTGAAAATGACCCCATTGTATGGACAAAAAGAAAAAGCCCCCACAAAAAACAGAAATAAAATCTAAAGCAGAGCAACATCGTCTTTACTGTGGGGATATGTGGAAGAAACAGGCCCACAGCCGCCGCAGGGCACTTTCTAAGAAAATGCACGGTGGAAGGATCAAGAGTAAGATGCAGTTGTGCTTTATGTTCAGAAAGCAAAAAATAAATAAATAAAAAATCCACATACACACAAATAAAATTGAAAGTTCATGTAAGAATATCTAACGTAGCAAACTTTTATGTTTAAATGACCTCTCTCCACTTGTAAGATGCTCAGTTCATTTATATGAAATGACTGGAATGAAGGTGTGTATTTTAAAATACTTGAGTCTGTACTGATTTTGATCTTTCAAAGCCACAGTGCTCATTTGATAATCCCCTACCACAGCAGTTCTTGTGTACCCACAGGGTACAAGGTGCAGCAGGAAAGGAAGACTGGCCCTGACCTCTAGGGATTTGCCTTCTGAAGGACAACAGCCTTGAGTGGCCAGCTGTCCAAAGCTTCTGTTTCAAACTATGGAAATCTAAGCAGAGTGCTGTGTCCCAGAGGAGATTTCTTAGAGGAGGTGTTGATTTTGAAAGGAATTTAGAAAAAAGTGAGGAAGATGCATACTTAGGTCTACTTTTTAAGGTCAAAAACATGGATGGCATCCTTTGGTTTACTGGCAAAAGGAAATTCAGTTTCTTCTGAAATAAACTACAAGGTACTATCATGTTATTTTAAGAAACAAGAGGCTTCTTCCACTACTTACTCCACTTGGCTAAAAGCTCAAAACAATTGTTTAGAATCTTGCCAGTGAGCCTGCCATTCTTTCTGCCCTACCTAATGTCAACCAGTCCCTGGCTGGTGAAATTAGTATTAATATTTTATCTTCATGTTTTTATTCCTTTCTCCCTAGATGCCTGTGTGCTGCCACCACCATTTGAAGCTATGGATCCTGTAAATCCTAAACCCTATTATAAGATTGGGGAAAAAGTAGAGTATAGATGTAAAAAAGGATACTCCCGTTTGCCTTTTTTTCTCATGGTTTCTACTTGTGAGAAGAATCACTCATGGGTACCTATTACAGATGATGGTTGTGTAAGTAAGTAAATACAGCCAAGTATCAGGCTTTTTTTTTTGCTTACTCTAGAGCTTTTCACACGTTAGAGTGCATATGTCACTACTGCAGTAATTTTATCACATGAAACAACACTTTGGATTAAATGTGTTTTTTCAAGCTTTGAGAAATTTCTAAGGAATATTTTTCTTGGCAATTGGTTGCCTATGTACTTGTGAACCTTACATTTGCCCTTATAATACAGTAGTTAAATAAATAAAATAATATTCCGTGAATTGAAAATAGCAATGCAGAATTTGGGGTTTGATTCAAGCACATTTGGAAACTGGATTTTAAAATTTCACAACTATTTTCTTTTAGAAATAAAATGTACATATCTAAACCCTCCTCCAAAGGGCAAGATAGAATACATAAATGGGACTCACGAATGGGGCGATCACGTGCACTTTACTTGTGTTGATGGGTAAGTTGCTCCTTAGAGGAAACAAGGTAAACAGTACTGGTTCCCTTTGTTCTGCTTTCCTTCTTAGGCATTCATGTATATTTCCTTTAATTTTGCATTCTATCTACCAAGTTGTATTTCTAGCCAAACAACCTGCAGGTGCTTTATGCACACAGAAAGACGTACAATACATAAAGAACAAAAGTTCAAAGAAAGCAAAGCTGGACAATACTTGTTATATCAAATAATAAGCCTATTATAAGCATTAAGACTACAACAAAGGTAGTGACTTCATCCTTCACAACCAAGTATTGGGAGGTAGAACGCCAACCAAAGCTGTTCTTCTGTCCAGAAAACCCTGCCCCAGGTGCTAAACAGACTATAGTTGACCTAGTTGATCAGGTCAGTCAAAATCTTTCACGTGGAAAACCTTACTTTTAAGACTGCTACAAAGAACTAAAGTATCTGAAAAAAAAAAAGAAAAGAAAAGAAAAGAAAAAGGGCACTGGCACTCAAAAAGAAGCTTTGTCCTGTAGAACTCTTTTAATAATATACACTGGGGACATTAGGCATTTATGGAAAATGTGCATTGAGAGAGCTAGTGTAATACACTATATTAAAAATAAGGCTGAACTCTGGGGGAAGAATCAGCTGTGACCATCTACATGCAGATTCACTGGCTGGTTTTGGGTTTTTTGTTTTGTTTTTACTTGATCAAATAAAAATATTAGAAAATTCAGTTGGAAGTTATACAGAAAGGGCTTGCTAGATACTTTGAGGGAATCAAAGGTTACAGACCTTTCCCAAGAAAGTTGTAGCCTTATGGAGAAATACAATATGTACAGTGCTGTGAAAGTAAAATAGCAAAGGAGAAGTAACAGATAAGTAGAATAATTCATGATCATGACTGTGAGGCTCCAGAAAGAGAGGAGAGATCCCTGTGAATTTAAATCATCAGAGAAGATTTCATTGGGTAATATTGCTCTTTTCCTAGAAAGATCTTTTGATCTAAATCGTACTAATAACAGCTTAATTCTCAAGATAGCACCATGAGACATGATAGATATCCTCTTTTGAAGAGCAAACTGAGCAAGAGAAACTTGAAGTGGTTCAGCCACACTCAAGCAGCTGTCAATCAAAAAGCAGCCACGTTGAGGGACTTGTTCTGATTGGGTCCCTGTCCTCACTGAGCAGAATGTGGGAGCAAAGAATGTGTAATGAGATTGCAGGAAAAAATAATGAGGCCAGACTGACAGGCAACCAGTAGGAGATTTATTTAGACATCTTTCCTCTTGAACAATATATGTACATATTGAGAAATTCCTCCTTTGATTAAATTGCAGGTTTATTTGGCAGTTTCATTGTACGTTGTTTAAGAAACTCATTTCAAACTACCAAAGTATAGAAAAACAGCCATCTAAACATTTCACTATTATGTCATCTTGATAACCACCACAGGAAACAGTAACTTTTTCTTTTCTCATTTAGTTTTCACGTAGTTGGTAATGAAAGGCTATCTTGTGACCTTAAAGGAGATTATGTGCAATGGAGTGGCAGCATTCCCAAATGTGAAAGTAAGTAAATTGTCTTTTTAAGATTTAGGGATCACAGGACCCCTTTATGCATTTAGATGAATAAGTACCCAAAGGGCTTTTCTTTATGTTCGTGATATCTATTAATATAGATCATATTGGAATTAAAAGGGAGAGCTTTTAAAAAGAATTATTTACACATTCATTTTAGGGACAAAAAACTCAATATATGTTAATATGCATAACATTTTTATGGAAAATTTCAAAATGAGAAAAATAATAAAATAGTGACATTACATTTTTGCCAAGCTACCTTGGAGGAAGACATCTGGAGCTAAACTACTGTGTTACCCAGGTTCGTGGCCCCTGCAAAAGTCACTGTACCATGAGCCTGAGAATGAGAGAAGAATATTGGTGTCATTGTAAACTGCCAATTTAAAGAATGAATATATTTATATTTTACCAGACATTTCTCAGTTAGCATTTAGTTTTATTTTTAATCATAAGTCTATTCTCTTATTAAATTGACAGCATCTTTTATAGGAGAATTTATGGCATGGCCTTGCAAATAAATATAAGTATTCTGTACCTTAAAAAAATAACTTTTGTTCTGAAAGTTCATTTCTATATTAACAGTTTGAACTGGGGACAATACATGTGTTCACAGAAGACCTATTAGATAGATACTGAATTCTCAGAACTAGCTTATAGATCTCCTATGTTGATGAATTTATTAAAGGCAATTCCAAAACCTTCATTAATTTTTTCTTTGCTTCTGCCCTTCATTTCTTCTTTTTCTGTCTTTTTGAAAAGAGGTTTTGTGTGACCCACCTCCAAAAATAAGAAATGGGAAGTACACCTTTAGTGACGTACAAGTATTTGAGTATTTTGAAGCCGTCACCTACAGCTGTGATGATGTCCCGGGACCAGATAAACTTTCGCTTGTTGGCAATGAAGTGCTTTACTGTGCTGGCCACAAAGTGTGGAGCAGTGCGGTTCCGGAGTGTAAAGGTGATCACTTCTTGATACGTTGGTTCCTTCATGTCTAATTACTGTGGAAGTCTTTTGTAAATAGTTTTCACCTGCAAGTAAGCACACCAAAAAAGGCATATGTGTTTCCTCCTCTTATAAAAATGGTTTCTAATTTAACTTAATATAGGCTGAATCCAGTCAAAGCTACTTCTAGTTTTAGAGTTCCCTGTCCCTCACCCCACATGGTCTTCACATTCTGTTTAATACACTGTGAACTACTGTGTTTATACATGAGTGAGGATGTTTCTGTCTGAAGCAACAAGACACTAATTTAAAAATAAAGCAGTGGCTTGTACCACAAGAATGTAAAAGTTGTACCTACAGATAAGGATAAAGTTGATTATACTGGATATTGAATAATAAACTTTGAGCCAAAATTTTTTTTTTTAATCTTCAAATATTTAAGGCACTGTAGAGTGACCAAAAGCATGGTGACACTGGGTAGAATTCGCCTCTTGAGTCAGAGGTAGCCTGAACAGCAGCAAAATATATGCCCTTTTCAAGTACACATGTAACAGCTCTAAGGTAGAAAGTGTCTTGGCAATAAGACTATTTTAAGCAAATATTAAAAAATTGAAATCAGTGTATTATCTGATCGCAGTGGAATAAAAGCAGAGATCAGTGACAAAGATATCAAGGAAATCCTCAAATAATTTGCAGATTATTCAAGACACCTCTAAATGATCCATAGCTGAAAGAAGTCAGGCGGGACTAGAAAGTGTTTTGAATAGAGTAAAAACAAAAAACATATCAAAATATCAAAATTGGGGGGAGTACGGCTAATGCATTACTTACAAGGAAATTTATAGCATGAAATAATTATGTTAGGAAAAAGGTCATAAGTCAGTGCTCTAAACCTCCACCTTAAGAAGCTTTTAGCAAGTTAAACCCAAAGCAAGCAAGTGGAAGGAAATGATAAAAACAGACCTGTTATCAATGAAACTGAAAAGAGAAGGAAAATTAATGAAATCAACAGCTAGTTCTTGGAGATAAAGTAGGTAAGCCTACAGCCAGGTGGACCAAGAAAAAAACCACAAATTACCACTACTAAGAATGAAAAAGAGGACATCCTAAATATCCTGTGGTTATATAAAGGATAAAAAAATATTGCAACAAATATTACATAAAAGGTAGTGCCCTTAAACTTACTGGCTTAAATGAAGTTGACAAATTTCTTGACAGTCTCTCTAAACACCAAAACTCTCTCAGAAATACAGATAACCTGAGTAGTCCTGTATCTATTATAGAAATAGAATTTGTGGCTTATGGCCTTCCTCTAAAGAGAACTACAGGCTCAGATGCTCCAGGGGGGAATTCGACAAAACATTTAAGGAGTAAACAAATGTGATTCTATACAAACTTTTCAAGAAAATTCAGGAGGAGAAAACATTTCTGAACCCATTTTATGAAGACAGCCTCACCCTGGACAAAAACATAAAAAATTACAAGCAATATCCTTGATGAATATCAAACTAAATATCCTCAACAAAATTTTAACATCAAATCCTGTGGTAAAATAATAAAATAATAAAGTAAAAAAACAGTAAGTCTTTACCAAGTAGGATTTAGCCCAGACGTCTACAGCCATACCACGCTGAACGCTCCTGATCTCATCTGATCTCAGAAGCTAAGCAGGGTCAAGCCCGGTTAGTACTTGATGGGAGGGTTAGCCCAGGGATACAAAACTTCATCAGAATAACTTAATATATCAAGAGGGCATACAGAAGAAAATTGTATCATCTTACTTGATACCAAAAAAAAAAAACCTATTTGATAGAATTTATCATCTTTTTATGATAAAACTTCTGAGCAGGCTAGAATTAGAAAATAACTGTCTCACTCAATCCAAAAAAGAGGCATCTATAAAATCCCACAGCTGACATACACTTAATAGTAAAAGACTCATTTCTTTCTAATTAAAAAATAAACTAAGGCAGAAACAAGGCAAGGATAGGCACTGTCACCTTTATATTCAACATGGTATTGGAGGTCCTATCCAGCACAATAAGGCAGGAGAAAGAACAGGCATACATATTGGAAAGGAAGAAATCAGGTCATCTCTGTAAACAAGATACCATGAAATACCCATTAGAATGGCTGAACTTTAAACCCACATAACCCCGACCACACTGTATACTGGCAAGGATATATGAAACAGCTGGTAAGAATGCAAATTGAGGAAATTTGAAACACATTCATTGATTTATAAACATACTCATACATACAACTCTCCAACACAAATGGGTCCCAAATGGAATCGTGCTGAGTAATATACGCCGTACTTTAAAGGCTGTGTGGTTCCTTTTATAGGACAGTCTGAAAAAAACAACATTGTGGTAGAGAACAGATTAGGGCAGGCGGTGGTTGGAGTGGGAGAGGGATGTAAATCACAAGTGTGTGCTGAGAAAGTTTGGGAAGGGCTGGAACTTGATCTTTAGCGAGGTGGCAGTTTGTGTGATTGTTACTGCATCTGTAAAATGCATCCATGTGTAAACTCAAAGGGTGGCTTTTACTGTGTGTAAATCCTACCAAACTTTAAAAAAATTATTAGCTGGGACTGAACACAACAAGTAAAAAGATCGCTGAACCTGAAGACGCCTCAGCAGAAATCCAACATGATTTAAGAAGAAAAATTTTTAAAGGGAGAGAGACTCTTACAGACCTGTGGGAGCACACCAGCCAGCCAAACATCTGTGTAACTGAAGTTCCAGGAAAAGAGCCTAGAAAGTTATCTGGGTAAATACTGGCCAAAAAATTATCCAAGTTTGATTCAAAACAGCAATCTTAGATTCAGGAAGTTCAGTGAAAATTTGAGCAGAATGAATAAATTATTACAATTCACCAAAAAGAAAAAAAAAAATACAAGAGACCTAGTAGTTCGATAGAGCTTAGTAGCTTGGCAAAGCTACTAAAGACAAAAGATAACGGAAAAAAAGGAGCCAGTCAGAAGAAAACAACGCCAATGAAAACATGTACTACATTTGAAAGGGGAGTGGCTGAAGGGTCTGGTAAGAATGACTGAGTTCTCCTAAGAAGCCACAGATAGGCTGGAAGGCAGTTGTGGCTGGGAAGGAGTCCCAAGAAAAGACATTTAACCTGGAGTTGTGTATCAGGGAGAAATCTTTCCAAACTGAAGGTTAAATAAGTGAAAAACACTGTTGGATAAAGCAGAGCTGACTGAGTCTCACCAGCCAACCTGGATTACAAGAATTGTTAAAGGAAGCTCTTGGGACTGAAAGGAAATGATGGTGGATGGACATTCCATTCTCGGGGAAAAGGAAGAGCCTTCTTCTAGCCTGACCCAGCCCCTGTAACGCCTGCATGTAATCTCACTTCATACCGATGCCCTGCGCTTACTACACCCACCCCAGTGATTTCTGCTCCCGGCCCCCAAATGCTCCCAAACCACTGATGGACTCTGAAATTAATCTAGTGAGTCCTGACTGCAGTTTACTTCTTAAGAAATACGGTAGAATGGGAAATACAGAAATACAGTATATACAGGCTAAGTATTGATACTAAGTTTTATTTTGGGCCTATATACTTGTGTACTGGTTTATAGCATAAAATGTATTTCTTCATCTCTGAGTTGTAGCCAGAAAAGATTTACAAAACTCTGCCCTAACTCCATCAGCCTTTCTATTCCTTGAAATCCCAAATTGTATTTGTTTCTACATAAATTTCTTTCTGCATATCTTTGTATGACTAGTTTCTTATCTTTTTTTAAATTTTAGTTCACATATGCCTTTCCAGAAAATTCTTTTCCTTATTTTTGCAAAGAGCAGGGTAACATTATCAGTGTCTGAATGACCTTTAAAAAAATCCCTAGAGCTAAAACATGTTTAAACTTAGCCTGAAATTGTTCATCCTTTCTCAAAACTTGTCGGGGAGGCACTGATGTAAGATATCATGATAATCTGTTCTGTGAGGAGCAAGTTACTAGGTTTCTCTGTTTACCTGGAATTAAAATGCTTCATATTAAAAATTTGAAGTGAAAATTTTTGTTTGTCTGTCTGTTTGTTTGAGACAGGATCATGCTACTTAGTGTAGCCTGGCCTTATACTCACTGTGTAGTCCAGGCTGGCCTCAAACTCATGGCAATCCTCCTGCCTCAGCCTTCCAAATTCTGGGATTACAGGTGTGCACCACCATGCCCAGCTCACCACATATTTTTCATTTTGTTTTTAAACATGTTCTATTTCTTATCTCTTTGTCCCTACTTCAAATTAATACTTTGTGCTAATTTTTCTGGTCCTATGTTATAATAAATTTCCGTTAAATCCTGGGGTTTTTTTTCTTTATTTCTTTGCAGTGGTCAAATGTCCACTTCCGGTAGTTAAAAATGGAAGGCAGATAGCAGGACTTGGAACAGCATTTTTCTACCAAGCCACAGTTAAGTTTGAGTGCATCCCTGGTTATTACCTTAATGGCAGCGACACAACTGTTTGTAACAGTGAAAGTGCTTGGGACCCTCCTCTCCCAAAATGTCTTAAAGGTACGAAGTTTTTTTCCCTTCTTGTTTTTTTTTTAAAGTTTATTTCTCTGACATTAAATATCAATTATACAGAAAAGCTAAGAAACAGAAACTTTTCCAGGTCCATTTTGTATTTATTTTTGCATCAGTCATATGACATAAAATTTACATAGAACTCTATTGTGATTTTGTATGTTTTTTTAGGGTTCTTAGCATGTTATATAATCACACGGATATATAGATAAGTTTCTCATGTTGAGTATTTTTCTGTATAAAATATGAACTGTAAGTGATTTTCAGAGTAAGTTGAAGCATGGACATTTTTATCTAGTGAAATAAAAAATGACAGGGATAGTTCATGTAAGCGTAATGAAAAGTAAGTAATTGATCCATTTTATTATCATTTTGTTTTCTAGTGCTGCCTTCTCCCAGTATAAAACCCCCAACTTTGAATTATGCAAGTTTATTAGGTTTCTGCTTATATCATTTTAAAAATGTTTCAACTTTCTGGTGAAAATGCTAACAATAAACCCCAGCTATTTGATCCAATCTCCATGACTTTCCTTTCCATTGTCAACTTCTCCCAGTACAAAACCTCCAACTTCCACGGTCTCAGATTCAGTAACATCCTGTTTATATTCTTTAAAACATCGTTTAAAACATCCATATATCCTTTAAATTCCCAGTAAGTTCTAGTCACAATGAGTGAATTAATAATGGTACTAATAATAGCAATAATAGAAATAGTAATCTACTAATTCATAGTACTCATGAGTTTCATTACTTGCTTTTAGTGAGAAAACGAGGATGAATCTTTTTTACAGCTATTTGCAACATTTTTCCTATCTGCCATAATTCACACTTACGAACAGGAATGCAAACTTGAGATCAAGTTATGTAAACTTTAAATGTGTTTACTCAGATATGAAATGACCTAGTACCTTCCTCACCAGCTGACAGTGAGGTCTGAGAGGAATGCACTTAGAGCACCTAGCACGGTATCTGGTATCCGGGACGCCCTTAAGGGTAGCTAAGCCATCTTCCACTGCTGAATCATCAGTCAAGAGGAAGATCTGCATTAGTGTGTGTTTTCTGTCTTCGCCTTTGGTATTTTATTCTTTTCTTTTAAGTGATCTATTAACACCTCCACTGGTACCTTTCTCAGGATTAGGTTTCCTAACTTGGAATGCGAACAGTTTATTTTTTCTATGTAGTCATCTAAAGAAGCTGTCTCTGCTCACTCCAGAACAAGACCTGCATTTCTACTCCCTCTCTGCTCGTTGTCTCACCTAAAACAATTTTTCTTTTTTCTCTTTACTGAACACTTTTATTTGGCAACAGAAATTGAGTGTTATAGCGACTGAAAGGTAGGAAAAGTTCTTGTTTACTGAAATGGATGGTTTCTGACACGGTTTGCTGATTTAAGATTGGAGAGAGTATCTCGGTATGATGGAAGGAATTATCTTCCCGGTTTCAGTCGTCACTGGCTGCACAGCAGGATAGAGGAGCGGTAACATTAGCCAAGAAGCACTGGCGGCTAGGGCAGACTGCTGACAGGTCTCTAGCCTGCTCCGCTCACATCGTTTCTATGGGCTTTAGATTCCCTTTGTTTTAATGTGGGTACTGAACGGAAAGAAACGCCAGCTGCTGATTTCCTAGCTCTTTAATGTTTACAGAACAGAGGAAATTATACATGTTAGAATAGTAATGACCTTTGTGGAATTCCTATAAGAACCCAGCCTGCTCTCCTTACTTGAGTGCAATAGGGTTGGAAATGGGGCAGAGGGAGACAGCTTTTGGATTGGACTGGTAAGTCAAAACCAAGACCACGGTGAACTTCATGCCCGCCTACCCATCCCCATTTGCTCGCATGCCCCAAGTGGGCATAACCATCATGGCGCACGAGGGCTGTTGATAGGCTCCTCTGAAAGAGTTGACTTAAAGGATATGTAAACCACCAATTTAGCCTGGAGTTTGAAAGATGAGGAAAGAACTGATCATGAGAAAAAGTTTAGGAAGAGACCACAGGGATCTTTTTTAAAAACAAAATAAAAAAATCAAAATTCCTGATGGAATCATTTTTTATCATCCTTTAGGAGAAGACTATATCAACAGCAATATATAATGGTGTTAAGGTGGATTTAAATGTGCTAATATGAAATGTCCAAAAAATACTAAATGAAAACTATTAAGATGCAAACTATATAGTGTGATGCCATTGGATTTTTTCATTTAAAAAAAAATATGGTTACCACGTTATTTTATGGTTTATTATTACTTAACTTCTAGAATTTACATTATAAAATACAAGCTGCACCAGGCTTGTTGATGCACGCCTATAATCCAAGCACTGAGGAGGCTGAGGCAGGAGGACCGCCCTGAGTTTGAGGCCAGCGTGGGCTACATAGTGAGTTCAAGGCCAGCCTGTCTACACAGTGAGATACTGTCTCAAAAAGAGAAAAAAATACAAAGCTGTAGTGAGCGCTTTTATGTGTACATTTTTACATATTTGTGCAAATACGTATGTAGGTCAAATATGTGGATAAAATTCATACAAGTAGAATTGCAAGGTTTAGAAAGTATGCATATTTTTCACTTCAATAATCTTTTTAAAAGAGCAAATATCAAAATGAAGTCCATAGTTTTGTACTGACAAGACTAGCTGAACTGATAGAGAATTAATAGACTCACATTTTTTTTTTTAGGTCCTAAGCCTACTCATCCCACCAAGCCTCCAGTTTATAATTATCCAGGTTTGATAATTATTTATCTTACTGATATAGTTTAAAATCTTTTAATGATAGATTTAAAAATCATGTTTTGTTTTAATTTGTATTTCTTTATTAACGAGGCTGAACTTTTTTGGTCTGCATTTTTATTTGTTCATATATCTGAGACAGAGTTGCTTTTGCTTAGGCTGTCCTCAGGCTCCTAGGCTCAAGTGATCCTTCTGCCTCAGTCTCCTGAGGTGGTGAGCAAACTGCAAATGCCACTGTGCTCAAAGGTCTACATTTATTTTTTCAGGTCTTTTCTTGCCCATTTTTCTGTTGGTTTCCCAAAGGTTTTTTGTTGATTTTAAGAGCTTTTCATGAATGAAAACACCTTTCATATAAACATTTTTCCACATTTTCATTTTTATTGATACTAGCTTTTTATACTACTAGAGATTTTTATAACTTTTAATTATATTCCTTTACAAATATTTTCATAAAACTTCAAAAATTACAAAAGTATAGAATAAAAGATTAGTTCTCTTTCTAGTCCATTATGCCCAAGTCAATCACTATTCATAGTTTAGGGTTTCTTTCTATGTATTTCTGTATGTCACCATGCTTTTATGAGTAGCTGTACATATAGTTCAGCATTTTTTTCTTAAACCAAGATGACATTATGCTGTACATAATATTCCACCACTTGGACTTTTTTCAACTTAGTGTCTTGGGTTGAAGGTCGGTGTAGATTTATTCCCACATATTCTGATGATGGCTTGAATATATGCCACATTTTATTTAACTATTCTCCTATCAGTGATCATTTAAATGTTCAGAAGTTTCACATCAATAGACAGTCAGATGTATCAATCTTTTCCCTAATGGCTATGAATTTTGTCTTATTCTCGTAGGACTTTTAGGTTTTACCCATGCTGATTTCAACCACATGCATCTGACTTCATTCTTTCCATTTAAATTGTTGGTATATTTGAAATTCATAGGTCGTTCCCCTCCAACCCCAAGGTAGGAACCACCAGTTGTGGGTAAGTTGTCGCCCCCTGCTGGTCTAAACTGCCACTTTTATCATCCACGGTATTAGGTATTCTGCTCCTTTCTCTTTTGGATTCTGCTCATTCTCGTGCCAGAACTGCTTTTTTTTTTTTTTTCCATAACACTACAGATCTTAATGCATTGTAAATACTTCCTTATCAGACATTCCCAGACCACTCTAATGTTAATTTTTCCAGATCAACTTTGTGTTTACCGGGGGCTGGGGATTTAGCTCAGCAGCACAGCGCCTGCCTGGCAAGGGCAAGGTTGTGAGTTCAATTCCCAGTACCAGAGAAAAACCAAAAAAAAAAAAAAAAACCTTCGTGTTTACCAATCTGTTGGCCATTTGCCTATCTTTGCTGGGGTGGGGGCTATTTGAGCTCTTGGCCCATTTTTGAATGGGACTTTCGGTCACTGCGTTTTAAGAGTGCTTCCTATATTCTGAATATTCATCTCATCAATTATATGAATGACAAATATTGCCTCTCCTGTGGGTTGTCTTTTCCTTCTGTTAGTGTCCACTGGTGCCCCAAAACTTTTCATTTGGGTGAAGTTCTTTTATCCATCTTGATGTCATTGTTGCCTGTATCACATCCTGACATCGCTGCTAGATCCAGTGTCATGCAGTGTTTCCCTGGTGTCTTTCACAGTTTTAGATCATGCATTTAGGTGAACCCAGTTTGAGTTGGTTTTTGTATATTAAGGGTCCAACTTCATTCTTTTGCCTGCAGATATCCATGTTTCCCAAATACTCTTTCCACAGACTCTTCTTGGCCCTCTTGAGAATAATTTGATTAAATCGGTTGAGGCTTATGTTCCAGACTCCCTATCCCTTTACACCAGTATCACTCCATTTCGATGACTGTAGTTTTATAGTTAAGTTTTGAACCAACCAATGTGAGTCCTGTCAGCTTCAGGGTTTTTTGTTTTGTTTTGTTTTGTTTTCGTCCAGGATTGTTTTGGCTATTTGGGGTCCCTCAAGATTTCTTAGTAATTTTAGGATGAATTTTTATGTTTCTGTAGAAAGTGTGATTGGGATTTTGATAGGAGTCACAATCTAAATTTGTAGGTTGCTTTGTGTTTATTGGTAGCTAAAAATAATGCCTTTCAGTTCATGAAAACAGGATGTCTTTCCATTTATGTCTTTCATGCTTTTCAGCAGTTTTGTAGCTTTTAGTGTCCAAGTCTTGCCTTCTAGGTTAAGTTCATTCCTCAATATTCTATTCTTTTTTATGCTATTTTAAGTGAAATTGTGTTCTTAATTTCTATTTTTGATCATTTATTTTAGTGTACAGAAATAATAACTAAGTTTTGTGTGTTGACTTTATATCCTACAACCTTGCTGAATTCACTGTTCAGTTCTAACAGGCTGTTTTGCTTGTGTAGTACACGTGGAATCCCTAAGGTTTTCTGCATTAGAGATCCTATGATCTGTAAACAGAGATAATGTTACTTCTTCTTGTCCAATTTGGATTCTTTTTCTTACCTCACTGCTGGTTAGAACTTCCAACGTTGTGTTGCGTAGCAGTGGCGAACACAGGCATCTAGCCTGATTCCGACCTAGAGGAGAAACGGAATGGTACAGTACTGAACATGACGTTGGCTGTGGGTTGTTCTTGTGTGGTCTTACGCTGGCGCGGTCTCCTTCCATTCCAGGGTGACTTCTAAAGCAGTTATTTGGCCCCATTCTATCTTTAAACTAGAATCACTAAATAACATAGTCTAATTTTGAGGATATATTAAAGATAAATTTGTATGCTAACTACAATATCACCACAGGAATGTTACTGGACAGGACAGGAAGAAAAAAGCTAATAGTACTGAATATAAATTTACAGAACTTTATGATACTACTTTAAATAAATAGTGACACAGCTTATAAGGAAAATGAAATTTTAAGAGATTTTGTACAAAGGTGAAAAACTCAGTGTCTGGGTTTGAAGGATTTTAAGCTTTATTTATTCTTTTTTTCTTTTTTCTTTTATTTTACTTAATCACTTTCCTTCTTTTCTTTTCCCTAGGATATCCCAACCCCCGGGAAGGACTATTTGACCAAGAATTAAGTTAGTATTTTCATTATTAATAATAACTCTGCATCATGATACCATACCATTCACATAGAAATATCATATATTTCAACTACTGGTATTAAGTAAGAAACAGTGGCACACATTATTCGTGTTAATTAACACTTCTGGTGACTTTGATTGTGTCGATTCTATGAAAAATGTAAGTGATGGTAGGTATGGAAGCATGTTGGTAAGTATAGGCCTATAACTGTGCCCTAGCATCGGAAGGTGGGGAGGACCAGGTCACTCTCTTAAATGCTCTTGTCACGTGTTAAATATATAAAATATATAGAATACAACTTGTTTCCTACCTGAATGTCATTTTGTGAAGGCAATTTGTAGCTAGATTCTCTTCCTACTCATTGCCTTGTAGGTGCTGTAGGTGGGGTTAGTAATGGGCCAGTCTAACACACTCTATGTAGGTTTACACGGTTCACATTGTAGTAAATAAAATGAATTATAGCCATGACAGTTAAAGGTCAATGAAATATAAAAATTTCTTGATGTGAGAAGACAAAAATCTATTTTAATTTATTAGAGTAGCCTAGCAGTGATTAATCTTTTAATAAAAGTCATGTTTGGCTTATTTTTCCACATTATCTTTCAGGATCCAGGGGGACTGGTTCCAGGACTCCCTCAGACACCAAAATGTGGGTGCTGAAGTCCCTCCTATAAAATGACAATATTTCCATATCCCCAAGCCACCTCCTCCTGTGTGTTTTCCCTCTCTAGGTCCCTTATAATACTTAATCCAATAGAAATGCTATTGAAATAGTTGTCATACTCTATTAGGGAACAACGCCAAGAAAATCAAGTCTATGCACATTTAGTAAAGACACAGTTTATTCCCCAAATATTTTCCCTCCACAGTTGATTGGACCCTTGCAATTGGACCTGTAGGTCCACAGTGCCAACTCTACATTTGCCCTTGACTTGTGGTGCATCCTGGTGATGCTGGGGTTGCATCCTAATGAAACCTCGTGTAAATGGAAGCTATCCTAAATTCAAGTGCATTCCACGCCCCTAGCTTACTGATTCCATAGCTCAGCAGTACGCAACCAACCCCGGTGGTCAACCCTGTGACTGCGTGGCACACACCCCCTCCAGCATCCTGAGCGCCCATCATGCATCCTGTTGCCAACCCAGGGAAAAGTCAAAATTCAAAGATTTTCCCGTACTATAATGAATGCTAATTGTTCCAGTAACCTTTGCTAAGTAATCTGAGAACCAAACACAGATGTGTGAAGTTTCTATTAAAGATGTTCACAAACTGGACCCAAAACCTGAAAACTAGGTTAGAAGGGTTCAGTGACTTAGTAGCCAGACATGGTGGCATACACCTCGAATACCAGTACTCAGAAAGGCCGAGGCAGGAGGATCCCTGAGAGTCTGAGGCCAAGCTGGACTATATAGTGAACAAAAACAAAAACAAAAAAAACCCCACCTATATGCACTAGTAGTCATGCTAAAACTAACTAATCTTTTATTTTGCTCTGCTTAGATGATTTGAGCCAAATAAACTTAACTGTTGTCTAGATCCATTCCTGCGCTACATCTTCTGTTTTTCTGTTTTTACATTTTCTAGATATATGGATCATTATTCTGCTTATTCTTATTGCAGGTAAATATCCCAGACTTTGACTATCACTGCAAAGAAGTGAACTTTCTAACGTACATTTTCCCTTCTATAGTTTTTATAGCTTGAGATTAGGGAGACCAACCCAGATCAAGACCAGCCTGGGCAAGTTAGCAATTTAGTGAGTCTCTGTCTCAAATTAGAAAAATGAAAACGGGCTGGGGAAGGCCCTGGGTTCAATGCCCAGTACTGCACAGGAAAGAAAAAGGTGGTAAACCAAGCTAGAAAAACTTGTCTTTTATATAGTACCCTTTGCTTTTGCTGATTTTACATTTCTGTACCCTATATATATATATATACTTCAAGAGGCCTAAATACAACAGGCTTCCCTAAGATGATGTGAGAAGGGTTTGCCTCTCAAATGCACTTTTGGTAATTTTCTAAATCAAGCTAGGACTCATCTCTGACTTACTTTCTACTGTGTAAGTGATTCCAGGGAATTGGATTTAGATAATGTAGAATCCAGATGGAATATAAACTATAGATACTTGAATCAAATACCACTTTCTAACATTTAAATATAACCAACATTGTTTCTTCTGCTTAGATTTTGAATCCTGGTTATTAGTTTGCAGAGTCACATGTTATTTATCTCCTCTTTCCCTGCAGTTGTCGGGTTGGCTGTGCTAGTTCTTATTGTGCGCAGACTCTTTGAACACCACAAGAAAAGGTAACTATAAGCATGTTTCTTCTAGGTTATGGGGCCTGCTCACCCTCCGCGTGCTTTTGTGCAGCCCAAGCTGGGCTTCCTATTGGTGGAGTCTTTTTCCAAGCGTGCCTGCACTGGTGTGTCCTCCACATTGTATCTCTCTACTGAAATATTTTCAGCTACTTTTAACAGCATTGCGGATGGGAGGGGTCTGTGCGGAGTTCTTCAGCGCTGTTATTGGAACAGTTTCTGTAGGGTGGGAGGATTAAGTTCCGTAGTGACCCATGGACTATTCTGAGGCCCCTTCCACCCGAGGGATCTGCTATTTCCTAAATTGGGTGAATGGCCAAAATGAAAGTATTTGACTGTGGAGACTATGACATCTGTAGTCATGGACTTTCTATGATGCATGTTTCTGTTTGTCAGTACAATTCAGCTGGTTGTAAGAAGCTAGGAGGGTGTCATGTTCAAATTCCCAATTTGGTTGGTTTGTTGTTTTTTTTTTTTTTTTCTTCTGTCTTTTGGAGTTGTTAAAGTGGGGGATAAAAACCAGCACTACTAGGTTTCTTTCTTATGCTCTCTTAACTTACAAGATTACATTATAATGAAGGGGCTCCATTTGCTGAGGGCTTCTCCATTAACTTTTTGCTATCTTTTTCTCTATAAAAATCAAAGCAAAAAATAAATAAATAAATAAATAAATAAATAAATAAATATGTATCCTTTAAGGAAAATAGTGTTTTAAGTAACAATTTAAATTTTAACAAAAGAAATTACCTTATGATGAAAAATTTAGAATAAATCCTGGAGTATGGGCCAAGAACAGCCTGAAATATGTATTTTTATTTTTTCCCATAGCTTTAAAAATAGCTTTGAAATTAAGCATAGTAATTTTAAGACTTCTGTTGCTCCTGGCTTTTTGGGTTTTTTTAAACTTTTATATTAATATTCAGGCTTGGGCTGTATAATAAAAGTATATTCTCTCATAAAAATCTCAAACTTTTTTTTTCATATTTTTTAGTTAACTTATAAAATATTTGCAGTTCCTTCATTTGAATCTTAAATCTTACACTACAGAACTCATACTATCCATACTTAATTTTTGTGACAGTTTTATTTTTAAATTATATATATAACAGTGTGAATAGAAAATATTATCAATGGAATAGTTTATGAATCTAAAAGGTTTGTGTAGAAATAACTTCCAGCAATACCAAAACAGCATTCTGCTCATTTCCTTTTATGTTTGAAATGTCACTCCATCAAAATTCTTAAACATTCCCAAGGAATGTCAATCAGACTGTCTTTCTGGATACCGTTAGGGGTATTTTAAATCTAAGCAATGACCTGAGCATTATACTCACAAATTAAAGGTTCAAAAGCAATAGTGAGGGGCTGGGGATTTAGCTCAGTGGCAAAAGCGCTTGCCTGGCAAGTGCAAGGTCATGAGTTCGATTCCTGGTACCGGAAGAAAAACAAAAAACAAACAAACAAACAAAGCAATAGTGATTTCAGATTTCAAAATTAATTTTTATGATTTTTATTAAAAATCTATCCCTATGTTATAGCACAAGGGTCCAACAGAAATTTGCTTTATTAAAATTTTAATATATTTTGCAAAGATATTTTATCTTTAACCAATGCAGCATAATTAATCCCATATACATTAGCACGACTTGAGGACAAAAATACAAAGAATGGTGTAGGAAGGGTGATTTTTAATCACCTTTGAATTAAATGTAAACTATGGGAACCCTTTAGGGTTTCCTTTGCTCTCTATATGCAGAAACATACACAGAGTAAGATGCAATGGTTGAACCAACAGTTAAGTTCTTTCAAATGCCTAGCATGCACAGGGTCCTAGGTGCAAGGCCTAACCAAACACAAAACAAGAGAGTGAAAGAAGGGAGGAAGTAAAGGCAGGGAAAGGGAGGGAGGGAACGAAGAAGGGAAGGGCAGAGAGAAAGGGAAGAGGGAAGGAAAAAGTTAGGTTCTTAACTTTCCAATTGTTTGGATTCAAGGCCCTGAGGTCTCCTACATCGTTCTAATCTTGAAAGTCCAGAGCAGAGTGTCTCTAATTGTATGCATGCTTGAGTGCCCTCACATCACTGGGTCTGGGGCAGAGCCTGAGATTGTGCACATCTGATGTGTATCCAGAGATGATACTGTATTGCTCAGACTAAAGCTTTGAATATCCAGGCTGCTGACTGCCGTTGATGGAACCGTAATGTTGGCTCAATACACAGGCAGGATGGGTCAGAATCTGATCATGGACTCGGGCGGTCAGCTCAGCTTGCAGTAGGGATGGGGCTGAAAGTCCCAGCCCTCTGGTCCTGCGTGTGTTTCTTTGAGCAGCCCCCAAGCTAAAACCAGCTGGGGTTCCAGCCGCCAGGCAGTTCACACAAAGGGACACCATGTTGACCTTCCTGAGAATTTCAATAGTTGTACGGCAGGAAACAAGGATGAAGACCAAATATATATTTCATATTACCGCATGGCCTTAGAAACTTCTCCTACAAGACTACAAATGATGACATTACTTCTCTATGCAACTGGAAGCAGGGCAATGGGCATAGATCATCTCAGATTGCTGCTATAGCTTGGGACAAAATGGGTTTGGTATAAACCGGTTCTTAGGATGATTTAGGGACAGCTACCCTTCTGTAGCCTTCACTCAAAGTACAAAAATAGGGTCAGCAGTCATTGTAAAGAGCATCCAACACTATTTAAATTATTTGATGAAAAATGGCCAGAAGGTTAAGCATCCTGCCAGTCTCCTGTTTCTTAGCTCTCAGCTCATTCCAGGTAGGACAGGACCCCCTGGTCTAAAGCAGGTCCCACCTGAATGCTCCTTTCTTCTGTTTCCTTTTTAACTAATTCTTTCTCATCTTGGGAGCCACAGTCCTTGTCTTGCTACTGCCTAAGTCCCATCTCACAAATCTGTATGGCTCTGAATCACATACACCTTGTGTTTACATGTTTTTTCACTTGTGAATTTTTTTCATAAGTGTGTTATTTTCTTTACCCCTGTTAAATCGCCCAGAATAGGTGAGAGTTGTTAAAGTTATGAAACTTATTTGCATCATTCATATTTTCAGTTACCTGTGACAAAATAGTTTTCTCTATTAATGATATTTACTATTTGGTATACCTTAAGCCTACTTTTAATGTGATGTTATTATGAAATGATTCAATTAGTTTGTCATTTTTAAGCTATCTGCTTAAAGGTTTGTTTCACTTTGTGAAACATTTATTTAGACACAGACTAAAAATTAAGGCACAGTTTAAAATTTAAGACCAGAAGCAGCCGGGCATGCCTATAATCCCAGCACTCAGCAGGCTGAGACAGGATCGTTGCGAGTTTGGGACCAGCCTGGGCTACAAAGTGAGCTGAAGACCAGCCTGAAATACATAGTGAGAGCCTGTCTGAAGGATGCAAAAAAATAAATAAAAATTAATACCAGAAATTGTGATGACATGGGGCAAAAAAATAATGTGTAACAAAAGACTGTATAGTTGGTTTAGGAAGCATAGTAATGAAGTGAGAGCCAGCCCAGAAATTTGGGGGGCTGTGTGATACATTGTACAAGAACTTGCCCTCAAGTTGAAAAAACAGTGCCACAGCAAGAAACTATACTCGATGCAAAATATCAAGGTGCATCTTAAAAAATGACTTGTCATAAAGTTGATTTCTAAGACAGTATGACATAGACTTAATAAATACTGTATATATTTCCTTAAAATCAAGGGTGCTTGAGACCTGGACCACTTCTCCTCATGTGTTACTCTGAAAGAATTTTTACAGCATTTGCTTTGTGCAAAACAGTTTCAAGGGTAAACACATCAGACAGAAATTTAGTATGTGTTCATCTAATGAGTGATACGTAAGACTTCAGGTAGCTCATTGTACCAAGTTCATGTGAGAAACAGAAAATTTGATTAATTTATGGACCCGGTGCTCAGCTGTTCTTCTATCACTGATTTATCTCATGTGATATGACTTCTGGCTTGATCCCTCTACCATATTCAGCCCTTTTCCATTCCTCTGTCCAGCACAAACCAGATGACAGCCACAAAGAAGTAAAATTTACTTCTATCTGAGAAGGAGAGGTGAAAGGTTTGCTTTTATCATTAAAAAAGGTATCTGCTTTCTGTGTGTTTCTCTGTCACGGTGTCCTTTGTTTTGAAAAATGTTCAGGTTGGCAGTAATGATCAAAGAGGAAACTTAGATCCCTCTTCCTTTTGCTGAGTTGCTCATGTTCCTTGTACCATCATGTTTGTATATTTATCTAATCCACACTGGCAGGATTTGCTTTGTCATAGGCTTCAATAGAGTCCTGTTCCCTTCATTCTTGCATCAGACTGTCCAGTTCCTCCAGCTCTGAATCCAAAAGGCAATTTCTGACCTCAGTGGGACATGACCAATAGAACCAGTCAATTTAATTTCAAAGAGGGAAAAATGGCCTCTTACAGAAGCCAAAGTATATTTTATTTAATTTTGTAAATGTAAAGACATTTATGCTTCCCTGAACCAAAATATATGTGGCATATTAAAAAAAAAAAAAAACTAGAAAAAATACTCAGATTTTGAAAAATCATGGATTTCTTTGCCCTAAACCCTTTGGTCCCACCACGTCCTGTCTCTAACTGAAATGAGTTCCAAGTGCTTGTCTGTCTGTGCTGGAATGGGTGTCTGTGTGGCTGGGAAATCTGTGCTTTTCATGAGAGACTCTATTCTAGTTCATAATCGAGAGCTTGGGAGCAGGATCTACAGAGGCCACTGGGAAACGCAGTTTCTTAATAAAAACAAGATTGTGTTTCTGAGCACAGGGGCAAAGTGGAAGACAACACCTACAACTAGAACTGATGACCTGACCCTAACCAGCTCTCTGCGCCTTAGTCCCGTGGGACACACTAAGGCTAAAGCCCAGTAAAGTAGTCTCCAGACTTCCTGAGCTTCAGGGTGTCTGAACATTTAAAACAATGTAATGAATGCTCAAGTTGACCTAAAATAGCTGTAATTGGTAATTAAGTTTCGAATTCTTATTGTCCTCAAAGCAGCTATATTGACATATCAAATATATTGATATTAATGCTTTTTATCTCTCTCAAATGTTAAATTCCTTTTCAAAAATTCTATGTTAAGCATTCTACTACTATGCAAAAAAGAAAATGCTGAAAACTACAGCAGTCTTGAAGAATTTAGTGTCAGGCCAAATTATTAAGTCACTCACCACAGTATTCCTTAAGAAACTGCCATAATATTGGGTGCTGTGGTGCACTCCTGGAACTCCAGCTATTTAGAGGGCTGAGGCAGGAGAATTTCAAGGTAGAGACTACCCTGGGCAATTGTCATTAAGATACAATAAGGTTGGGGAGGTAGCTCAGTGGTAGAGCACTTGCCTAGCTTGCACAAGGTCCTGTGTTCATCTTCTGGTATTAAATTTATATATATATATATATATATATATATATATATATACACACACACACACACACACACACACACACACACACACACATACTCATTCTATGTACTGTCAGCCAACCAAGGCAGGGCTGAGTGCAGGTACAGCCACATGTTGCCTCTTAGGACATGCTGTAAGTGTAAATTGCACACAATGTCCAAGACATAGGACAGAAAAGAGTGTAAAACGCACGTAAAAATGTACACACAGTATTTTATACCTAGATGAGTTTAAATAATATTAATTCTGCCTCTTTCCAACATGGCCTCTGGAAAATGTCCATATGTGAACTCATCAGACAGCACTGGACATGAATAGACTTTGCAAAGACGCCTACTGTTAAGAGACTGTGGCATAAACTTGAGTTATTTTGGAGGATACAGGATACGGACATGGGGGTAAACGAGGCACGATGTCCTAGCACTGTTAGGACCACCAGCTTTTTCAGAGTTCACTTCAGAGCTGCTGACTCAAATTCGTGATAGCGAAGCAGCCCTTCTCGCCCCAGTCTTCCCTACTGGCCCTCAAAGCAAGGAAATATTTACTAAGTACTTCGTGTGCTGCTGCTGTTTGTTTTGGAAGGGATTAAAAATGTAATACAAAGATAGAAGAAGGGTTTGAACCTTTGAAATTATCTTAATCATTTGATTCTAGTTTGGGGACTTTATTATCTATAGTGTTTTTTGGTTTTGTTTTTTTTTTTTTTTTGTCTTCTTTTGAGTAGGGGTGGAGCTCTGTGTAGAGGATTTGCCTGGCTTGTGTCAGATCCCGCATTCCATCCCCAGCACTGGAAAAATAGAGGTCTCTTTCTAAAAAGCCTTCTGGGATGTAACTTCTGTACTTAATTGTATTTTTCTTGGATATTACCTCTATTCCTTGCTTTGTAGGGACACACAGATCTGGGCTCACTACACCACTTTTCAGAAAAGCTCAACTATTCCAGCAGCGTAAACTGCCTGCTTTCCGCCAACCTGCGCTTCAGTTCGCCCTTCGGTTGTTAAAGCTTCGGGTCTTCTCTCTTCTCTTTCTCTTCTCAGCTGTGCGGGTCCAATGCTCACATTTTACTGCAGTGTCAATGCAGCACCTCCTGTGCTGCCTCAGGTGCAGCCCATGTGTTTGCGCATGAACTCAGTGCCTCTGCCGAAGGGCAGGCCTACCAGTGTCCCCAGTGGCCTTCAGGAGGGGAAGTCATTTGTTTTACAAAATGTGGCACATTCAGACAAACATACAGCAGTAGCAATGAAATTAATTTCCTTTGTAAAGAAAGTGATGTTGACATCTTTTGAATGCTAACCCTTAGGACACTTCCTTGCAGCAACTCTAAAAAGTGTTTTACATATCGTCCTCAAAGCCTTTACAGACGCATGTATACTCCTTTGGCACCTGTCACTGAAAACAAGAATGTAGAAAACTGGGAACATGGACAAGTTTTATCACCTTAACTAGCACTGTCATTGGAAAATTATCTACACTTAATAAGGTTGAAGTTTAGATAATTTTCTTCTACTTATTGGTAACTTCTTCGGTAATTTAAAGAAGCTAGAAAGTGTATGTATGACATGCACTTCTACTTTTTGGTGACATCGCTGAGCTACCAGAGCCAGGTGCACACGTGTAAAAAGCTGGGGGGACGCTACTGCACGTAGCAAGCGCAGCAGCGTGAGGTACCAGGCGAACTCTGCGCCCTTATGGTTTCCCTAGAGAGTGCTGTGTGTGGAGTAATGCTAAGTTCTGGCTGCAGGCGGCTTGCTTTCTCTCCTTGACAGGCCTTCCCTTAAACTGGCTGGGGGTATAGCTCAGCGGTACAAGCGCCTGCCTGGCAAGCACAAGGTCCCAAGTTTGATTCCCTGTACCAAAAAAAAAAAAAAAAAAAGGCATTGTAGCCAATAAATTCATCAGGTAACTCGAGCGACGTCAAACTGTAGTCCATGTGCAGTGAGAGCTTCCTGTCTGCACATCTCCTCTCCTCTCCTGAGAGGCAGAGAACAAGCCACGAATTTCAGAGAAGGGAGCTTCATCTGTTTGCCCCCCTACCCTGGCTCTCAAGCCAGCACAGCAAGTGACCCTTCCTTTGGAACCTGTGGTTGGATACTTGGGGAAGTAACCTTTGGGTTAGAATTCTGAGTTAGAATTAAAGTGCGTGTTCATTTTCACATCTCTCTCCAGAACGTAGCAATTGTTCACCTAATTTTTTAAACCTAATGAACTGTTTTCAACTTTATGATTAAATAAATTTAAATTTATACTAGTTTCCGCTTCATATTTAGTGTTTTCAATTTAAATTTATATTGGAGATTTTTGTGTAAATATTGTTTGTCAAGTAATTTGTAAAACTTAAACTTGTACATTTGGAGATGCTTCATTTGTGTGGATGTGTCTGTGCGACTAGCATGTTTATCACAAGTCAGAGTCTGTTTCCAAGAGAGCCCTCTCTCAACATGCCACTCCTGTTCCTCACAGCCTGGTGTCCCCAGGTATCCCCTACCGTCTGCCTGGCAGCCTCTGTGTTCAGTGACCCCTGACCTGCAGGGTGGAGTCCAAGATGCCCGCATGATCTTGACCTTCTTCAGTGAAATCCTTTCTTCCCAAGCCTTGCTTTCTGCTGCATCTCTTCAGATAGCCTACTCTTGGTCAAGCCGGACCATCTGTCCCTATTTTCTGCTATACTCCCAGTCTCTGTTGCTTGAAGTATCTTTTCTCTTCTCTAGAGTTGTGTGTCTTCCAAAGATCATCTCAGATAGGAGCCACTGCCTGCAGCTTTGCCTGGTTTCTCTCCAGCGTGTCTGACTATTACCTAATTGCAAGTTAGCTACGTTAGAGTGTCTAACAAAACATGCATCTTCTGTGTCTGTTAAATATGTACAGTGCTAAAGAAAAACCAAATCCCAGCAATTAAAGCATACAGTTTGATCTGTGTAACTAATAGGATGTGCGTTTATTCACACAAAAAATCATTCTGGCTGTCTTTGCAGATTAGAGTCCGACTGCTGAGTGTCTCAGATGAGGCCTTCATTCCTCGGGCTGTACACTGGAATCACCTGGGGAGTTTCACCGACACCTGGGTCCCCAGCCCACGGGTTCATAGCTAATTGATCTGGGATGTGGCCCAGGCACTGGGCTTTCTGTGTGTCCCAAGTGATTCCACCGATACAGCTGAGGTTTAGGCTCTCTACATTAGGGATTCTCAGGCATGACAGTCAATTTCTCCAAATAAACTTATATTTGGAGAAAGTAAAGGTTTATACTCCCTGCCACCAAAAAAAAAAAAAAAAAAAAAAAAAAATCATGGTTTAATTCCACCTGCCAAATCAGAAAATTTTAGAGTTGAGGTCTTGCTGTCTAGCTCAATGTGCTTTAAAAATGCAGAAGAACTCTTTTTAATATCAATGCTGGATGGAAACTATATTAAATGTGATCAAGGAAATCATTTTAGAAAATGTTACTTGACCTTGGGACTTGTTTTTTCTTGTCAATTGCCAAAAAGGAGAGGGAATGCTTTTAAGGTAATTAACAAAGCCTTCTGAAAGAATGCTGAAAAGACCTGGAATTGGAAGGAATTTAAGTTGGCATCTGAAAATAGAGTTTCAGGCTAAGGGAAACAGACAACTCTACGGTAGAGTATTGGGTATTGTCAGGCAATAGCTAACATTGTAACCAAGAATGAAGTTTTTGTGTGTTTTAAATTTGCATACTTGTATTTGAGGATTTAACAGAGTCTCATAATCCCTGCAGTTGCTGCAGAACTGAGTGACTGCACCTATGGATTATTATTTCCTAAACTGCGCTGCTCTCGGAATGTCTCCACTCTTTCACAAAGGTTACAGTGAGCCCAGCCTCTGTAGAGTACGGCACTGCTGCCCTCCTGTGGACAGCTGGGGTATGGGACCATCCCTCACTTCCAAACTGTCCTCAGATTCAGTCAGTGCTGTGATTTCAGAAGCAGTTCCTAATTTCATTTTGGATTCACTATAAAACTAGCCCTCTTCTGCTACTTCTGTGAAATTAACATTTTTTAAAAAGCAGCTGAGGGCCGGGGATATAGCTCAGTGGCACAAGTGCCTGCCTGGTAAGCGCATGGTCCTGAGTTTGATTCCTGGTGCCAAAAAAATAAAAAATAAAATTAAAGATTAAAAAAAGCAGCTGAACACTTCCCCTTCCTGCTCTAATATGGGGGAAACATTGCTGTATTTCCAGCACTCTGGGACCCTGAGGCAGTTCCAACCAGCCTGGGAAGCAATAGCAACTTGGGGAGAACCTGTGTCTCAAAATAAAAGAAAAAAAGGGCTTGAGATGTATGACTCTATGCAAAGGCCCTGGGTTGAGTTCATCCCCAAATACCAAAAACTAAAAACAGGGTAAGTATAGTATAGAGGAATATATATAGGTCCTTCGATCAATAAAATGACTTTCCTTCCTTCTCACTTATAGCCAGCAGGAAGGAAAAACCAACCAGAAGACCGGTCATCTCAAAGACCAGCCCAGCCTGTCCACCCACAGCCTGAGAAAGCCTGTGCAGACGTAGTAAAACTGATTTGGTAGAAGCCACTTGAGCTGATGTCCGCCTCCCTGTGTCGCTTTTAGGAACTGTACTACAGTGTTACGGTGTCAGACTCCTGGAAACAGGCCCTTGGGCCTGCCAGTGCTTAGGTCTGTGACTTCAGTAATCCAGGGACTGATGCTTAGATGAGCATGAACGCACCAGGCCAGGAAAAATCATCCCATTTCCACCCCTCTCCACCGCAGGTGCTCCTGGGGAAAGCACTCCTTAGCTGTCCTTGAGGTGGGTCCCATGGCACCATGATTTGCAAATGCTGGTGTCCAAGTGAAGTACACAATGACTTTGCTAAAAAGCCCATGCTGACTCACTAGCTCTGTGTGGGAGGCGGGGTCTGCATTTCTACTGCGCTTCCAGGTATCACTATGTCAGGGTCTCCAAAGACAGCCAAATCGTAATGCACAGCACTTGGGAATGTGCCTGGAGACAGTGATGGGGTTTTGCAGAGTAAAGGTTCTGAAGTGGGGAGGTGGTGCCAGCAAGGAACTGTGTGTGACCCCAAGGTTGCTTAGAAGAGAAAGCCAAAGGGAGACCTGACTAGGATGGTGAGGGGCCCCTGGAAATGTGAGTGCTGACCTTGAAGGCGAAGACAAGTTGCGGTCCCAGAATGAAGCTCTAGATGCTGAAAAAGGCCCTAACCCCTATGACCCCCACACACCCTGAGGGGTTTGTGGCTTCAGTCCAGTGACAGTGATGAGACTTATGTTGCAGGCGTGTGTTAAGACAACAGGTTTGTTGTACTTTGTTACAGTGGCCACTAGAAAGGAATACACTGGTTTATACACCCTCGGGTTGCCTTCTGTGTAGTAAAATCTTTTAGAAACAAAAGATTTCCACAGGGACCAGGGGAAGTGACCCTCAACCCTGGTTGTGTGTTAGAATCACCTGGGAAACTTTAAAAAGCAAAAAGCTGTATCCAGGCCCCCTCTGAAATTAGCCAGACCAGAACCTACAGGGATGGGACCCAAGGGTCACTGCTGGAAAGCTCTCTGTGCACAGGAAGCTCAGGAGGTACGCTACTGTGTTAATTCAAAATACAGTTTTCTTGTGTTCAAGGAAAACTCCTAGCTCCCCCGGAGTACAGACATACTAGTCTGCTAGGTAACACTCCAGTTATATGCCAGCTCCTCAAATGAAGACCTGGGCCAGTGTCTTACACAAAGAACTGCCAAGATCTCACCTGTGTGCTGCCCCGAACTGGTCAAAGATCAGACTCCCCTCCTGTTTCTTAAGAACTCTTCCGTGTTACCTCCACACATGGGAATTGCCCTCTAGTACAAGTGGTGAGGCGGAGGGTTCCTCTTCACTTCTACCTTTACAGACAGCAACAACGGCAAGCCCTTAGGGGTGCTCCTGCAAAGTACTCCCCTGAGGTATTAGCGTGGCCTCACTAACCTGACTCAGGATGGTGTCACCAAGAGAAATGCTCTGCATCAGTGACTACTTTATGGCAACCTTAAGCAAATGGCCATAAGCACACAGACAGAATCATCCTATTTAAGAGGTGCCTCTGATACACTTCGCTTCTCATGACCTGAGCTGGAGGGTGTCATTGTTTGAACTTTTATGGAAAAGAGACCTCAAACCTCTGTGTGTGTGTGTGTGTGTGTGTGTGTGCGTGCGCGCGTGCGCGCGCGCACACGTGCATGCTTTTTGATACTAAATTCAATCTTCTAGGACTTACTCGTTTAAGGAGTAAAATCAGGGCTACAGTAGGGCCACAGACATGTCTCATTTGTATTTGAATACAAATAATCTGGAGCTTGGGACGAGGTCAGTGCATCCAAAATAGGTTGATGTGTAGTTAACTGAGCAGACCCAAAGCTGTCGTACCTGGGGTGCTGCCGTAGCTACTTCAACAGAGAAGCGAATGAAACAGTGCAATTTAGGCCTTAGCTATTCTCACCACCACATCCTGGGGATTAGAACATGGATTCCTCAATCAGTAGCCTGAAATAGCTCTGCAGCTGCAGGATGCATCACATTCACTGGGAAACCTTCCCAACAAATGCTTCATCCGCCTTCCACCCCCAGCCCACCGGGCAGGGCAGCCATCTGGGGGAGACTGGCGGGGCGTGGGCTCTGAGAGGCTTCTTGGCGGCTGATCTGCCATCGCTTGGTGTCCAGGTGAATCACGGGGTGAGGAGTCGCTGTGCTGTACATAGCTCAGAGCCAGGCACCACCTCTGGAAAAGCCCAGTCAAGGGGCTACCATCTTCCTTCGTGAGGAGTCCCCTGGCTTTACCTCCTGAGAAGTCAAATCTGGCTAATCTCTGAATAGCTTTACAAAGCTGGCTCACCCTGTCTTCGAGAGTTGATATAAACTAACAGCCAAAAGTAGAACTCCATCTGTTAGAACACAACTGAAATTAGTGCTGCTCCCCTGGGGCCACATGACAGCACCGTGAAGTATGAGTTTTCTGGAACTTTCTGAAGAGGCACTGCGTCCACAGCTCTTTGGGAACCAAGGACAGTTCCCATCCCTCAGCCTACACCACCATTTTTTATCTTCACTAATCTCCTCTCATTCTCCTGGCTCACAGAATTTCATTCTTGCCTTCATGAATTTCATTTTTAACGTCTGCCAGAACCACCTCTGAAGTCCTCACAAGGCAGGTAGGATCTGCACAGCAAATTATTTTTCAGGACCCACTTCTCTTTGTCACAGGATTATGCATGGAGAGTAACAGATAAAAAACACAGCCACGTTAGATGGGATACAGTACATTATTTATTAGAACCAGGATGCAGGAAAAGACTCTTCTTAACAAAGCTAACAGCAACCAATCCGCAGCAGTGGGTACATTTCAGACGAAGCAGCAGAGAATATCAGACAAATTGTAATGACTGTTTTCAAGCCATTAAATTACCTCTTACCTCCACAATAACCTAAGCACAGTTAAAGGAGTCACTGGGGGAATTCCCTGTTCCTTCCCCACCTTCTGCTCGTCCATCCTTCAGGAGACCTTGAGGGGCTGCTGCCAGACTCAGATGAGGCTCTGTAGGTGCTGCTGCTTTTCCCCCTACATCATAACCGATTTCAAATGGTGCTAGACAAAAACAGACTCTGAACACCAGGAGAAATCGGTCAGCCTGTGTAAGAGATGAGCCGGCGGCGGGCGGGCGCTCCTCCAATCTGCACCTCGGTGCAGAAGGCAAGTCTGCGAGCAGCGGAACACTCCGGTGTCCTCCCTCCTGAGCGGGTGGCCGCACCCCGAGGTGCACAGCTTTCTCCCTCCCTACCACAGTCCATACCGATGGGGCATCACCAACCCCATTACGCTCGGGCCCATCGCGCCCTCCCTGCAGGAAGAGAGTGGACTGCCTCTGTCCCCTCAGGGCGCTGTGTACACTTAAACATAAACCTCTCCCCTCTCCCTGTCACCCTCCCAAACCCTGCGTATCGAGTCCTTTTTGCCATCTCCTTGAAGGACTTCTTGAAGCAACTCCTTGAAGTCTTCCTTGTGCTGTGCTGCAATTCTTACTCCTAAAACACTGATTTCAAATGGTGCTAGATACAAAGATCAAAAAATCTAAGCCACCATGTGAAACCAGCTTCCAGAAGAAGAGGGTCTCACTGAAGAAATCGCAGAGCTTTGATCGGAAGACTCGGCCCCATCCTGAGGAGAAATGTCTTCTCAGGGTTCCACTTGCAGAATTACAGGCGACCGCTGCAAAGACAGAAGAGAGCTACGCAGCGCTGCTCCTGAGAGCGTGGCTGATCCCTCTTACACACACACACACACACACAGGTACAAAACTCAGCGATTCTGCTGAATTTCCCAACCTTTAAGTCATTACAGAGGACGAAATGAAAGGGCCATCGCCATCACTAAAGTACATGAATGTTTCCATTCATTCCGCCCTGCATGGACAGGATAGCTCCCAGCATGCAAGGCTCCAGATCCAGGAGCCCACTCCTGCAGGACGAAAGCTGCCTGCCTGTCTGCCTGGGGCTGCAACATAAAGGGGCGCATCTCCTGTCTTCACACGCCCTGCTCCCAATGCACCTCCTTCCCACTGTGCTTCTGAGCAGCAGAACATCACACGCAGCCCTGCTGGCTGCGAATCTGATTTAACCTGCGGTGTAACTTTCAAAAGCTACCATCCATATCAGCGTGTCAGGTAGAGAATCTCCCAATGTAAGTATTGCGTTCTGTTTTCATTTGCCTGAAAATTTGCAAACTGTGTTTCCATTAACTTCTTGTTCACAACATCTTCCGAGGTTACATAATGTCTTTGCTCTGATGTCATAACCCAGAGAAAGCGGAAACTGAGTAGAAGCTGTGTGTTTTAGGGTTCTGACCCCTTTACAAGGCCTCTGGATATGGGGTTACCTTTTCTATGGCTCCTTTATGGCAATAACAGTATGCATTGCTACAGAAGGAGGAAAAAACTAACAAGAATTGTGCTACTGAACTCTTACAACAGCTCTACGAAGAGGGTATGCTGCTCATTTCTGCAGAAGAAACTGGTCTTTAATGAGGACAAAAAAAAAAAACCTATCCACAGTCACATGATTAATGAAGCAGATCCCAGGAGTAAGTCCCACATCCATGTGCCTTCCTGCCTGCCACAACTGCCAGTGCCTCACTCTGCACCTTGACTTTCGCCTCACTGTCCTCTCAAACTTAACTCTAGGCAAGATTTGCATGTGGAGGGTAGCACAGAGGCAAGCCTTCTGCTCGGACAGGGGATGACATACACTGATCATGTGACACAGTACCTCTGGGACTTGGGCTTTGTGAGGGGGCCGGTGGCTTGGGCAGTCCGCTGCCTGTGGCTCTCCCTCAGCATGGGGAAGATGCTGCCAGTGAACTCTCCCTAGCAACTCCCACACCAGGAGCAAGATCTGCTGCCCACCCGGGGACTCCCCAGGGCCCAGGGCACGGGAGGGATAGCTGGGGCCAATCTGCACAGGGTGCTGAGCAATGACATCTCCAACCAACCTGAGGCCTGGGGGACCAGGTGACAGCATGGGTTTTAAGGTCACAAGCGAGTGTTACATGACAAGATCACCAAATGTCCAACCTTGTAAAAGGAGGGGGTGGATGAGATTTACGTTGGATAATTCTCGGCTTCTCTGCCTTTCCTTTTAGCCAAGCTCTTCCTTAGCAACTTTACTTGCCATTGTCCACAAACCCCTTCCTGTGAGCCACCGTGCCGGGTCCTGCAGGGCTCCAGAGGGCCCTTCCCCCCAGCTGCCCTGCCTGCGCTGAGCACCTCTTCATCCACTGCTGCTACCCTGGCCACCCTTCCTGTCTCAGCCTCCCCACCCCACCCAGCTTGCTAGCGGGCTGAGCCCTTCCCCTCTTCAGAGTACGCTCTCTGGTCTACTCTTCTGTGTGGCACTGAATGAATGTTTCTCCTACAACCCAGGAAGCACAGTGCCACCAAGGGTCCAGCAGACCTGCTGTACCTAGCAAGGAGCCACTGCCACCGAGGGAGCAGAGGACAGGAGCCAGAGTCCGGGATCCTCATGCCTAGATTCCACAGCCGCACTCTCAGCTCCCGGGAAGAAGGGACACAAAACTGTTTAAAGAAGGGAGGGGAGAGTAACTTTAGCACCGGAGCCCTCTGCCTTTGATTCCCAATGAATGTACAGTCCACTTGTCTCGGCTCCTCTAGCAACAGTGAGGCTCTCCTCTCAGTCACAGCGGCGGGTGAAGGAGCCGCTTCCCTGCTAGTCGGAAGCAGCCAGGTGATCTTGTGAAGGGCAGGGACGGGCTCCATCTCCCAGGCACCAAGCCCAAGCCCATCTAGGTCTACAAAAACAGCCTGGTGGGGGCTCCGCTGTCCACTGAGAGCAAAGGGATCCTCCCCCATCGGCCTAATGGGCCCTTGCAAACTGGCTGTGTGGATGGGCTTGCCAGGGCTGCCTGGGAAGGAAAGCACCAGCCAGGTAGAGTGGACAGGAGCCCTGAGGGCTGCCCCATGCGGGGAAGAGGTCTGGGGAGTCACATGCTCTGAGGCTCTCCTACTATACCAGGACACTCCTCTGCCTGGCCAGGAGCCAGAGGGTGGAGGAAAGGTCGCCACGCAGTGAATCAGAAAGCTGCTTGCCCCAAACTCAGACCTGTCACCTGCCCTGAACGGGCCTCCGCATCTCCAGGTGTAGAAAGGAGGCTGGGGTAGACTGGTCACCAACATGCAGAGGCACAGAGGGCCTGCTCAGATCACAAGGACAGAGGACGACAGCATCAGCAGGGATACAGGGACCTGGATGAGCCGCATGCTGGAGGCCCACAAAATCACACACAAAAACAGCGCTGTACAGGCCAAACCAAACACAGCTGAGGGCTAAACGCACTTCATGGGCCACTGGTTCACAACAAAGATTGCAAAGATCGCTTCTCCTTCATCTTACAAACGGTGTAATGTCCCTTAAAGTCCCGAATATCTTGTGCCCAGCATAGTGGCCTTGAAAAATAAGGGAGGGAAAAAGAAAGGAGGGGGCCTCCTCGTGTGCAAAATCCAAAGTCAACCCCACTGCACCCAGATAGTCACCCCCAGAACCACATCCCGCTCCGCCTGAGCGGAGCACCCAGGGTGCATTCAAATGCGGAACGTGGGAAGATTCCTGCCAAGGCAGCAGCTTCTCCCTCCTGACCCAGCGCTGGGTGCTGAGTCACAGCTACTTACGTGACTGACGCAAGTTCTGGCCAGAGTGGGGGAGGGTGCCGGAAGCCAAGCCAGTCGTCCATCTTCTTGCCTCTGGGAATGCTGGTTCAGGGTTCCAGGTGGCAAGAGGACACGTCTTGGCGAGCAGCGGTGCTGTTTGTGGAGAAGGGGTGCATCCTGAGACAGCCCCAACGCTGAAGACACTGAACATTGCTGTGTGAGCTGAAGGGCTGCCTGGCTCCCGGTCACTCAGCTCCAGGCTGGGCCCAGTGTCGCGCACACTTCATCTGTAACTCTCAGAGAAGGGCCTGCTGCCAACCAGTGTGGCTCAACCAACCGAGGAAAGGGTGGTAAAACGAAGGGGCTGTGTGGAGGGCGAAGAGTGAAGGGCAAGAAGGGAGGTGGCTGCCCCAACGCTCCCAAAAGGCAGGTTCAGACCCCAGGGACCACTGCGCTTCCTCGGCTCCAATCTCCCAGGGCGGTCACATCCTCCAGACAGCACAGGTCCCGGGGCCTTGTCAGTAGCAGGGCAAGAAGTCAGTTTCCGAAAGCCCAGGCCAGATAGCCCAGCACAGCTCTGCTCCCCTCAGGTGGGAAGTACAGAAGCCTATGTTCTTAGACAGCAGCACTTCAAATTAGATTCCCTCCCTGCTGTGGAGCAAAACCCACTCTCAGGGCTCCTAGACCCAGGACAAGCTATGGAGGCCTGCGTCAGGTGCTGAGTGAAGGATGCACTGCAGCTGCTCTGCAGGAGGCCGGCCTGGCAGGCAGCATGGGAAGGAGAGGGACGGAGCTCGGGTCGGGCAGTGTCCTATGCTCCCCTGCAAAAGGGCTCAGCTCTCACACAAGAGGACGACACAGCCCCAGCCGCTTTCAAGGAAGCTGGTGCTTTCCACGACAGGAAAGGCGAGCATGCCTACGGGTTATTACACAAACACAATGCCCGCCGCACAGGTCACAGGCCCAGGCCAGCACAGTCCACAGAGAAACCACGGATGCCACGCCCTCGTCCCTTGAAAATCATCTGCTTGGCTTTGTGAAGGTGGAATCGGAAGTGAAACTTCAGCCTCAGGTGAGCTCTAACCTTGGAGGTCAGGCAGGGAAGCCCCAGAGCCCAGCGTCCCTGCTCCCCAGGCACAGCCGGTCCCCCCTCCTTCCACCGCCCAGAAGTAGACAACAGACAGAGACAGTGTCCTACCAGGCACTGCACTCCCGGGACCGTGTGCCTGCTGCCCAGGCTCTGAGGCAGCCCCACGAAGGGCAGCAGCCCCCCGATGAGAAAGCCCTGGAGTGTGGTTCCAGGCAGGAACCAGGAAGCCAGCGTGCATCCACGACCTCCAAGGAGCAGCTTTGCCCGTACCTGGGCACACACCTGGCGGAGCACATGGAGTGGGGCACGCCCTGTGACGTGGTTCCACTTCCCTAGTGTGGGAGGGAGGCCGGGCCAGGCGGAGGGAGGCTGAGTCCAAAGCCACCCGCAAGCCCGCCTTCTCTTCTGCTCCCCCTCTGGCTGCCCTGCTGGGAGTTGCACCTCCACCGCTATGACAGCCTCGTCCTGTTATCGGACCTCTGTCTGCCAGGCTCAAGAGCACAGAGCAGCAGGAGGAGGCAGCGGGAGGAGGGGAAAAGGGAAGGAGGGGAGGAGTGTAGGAGGAAGGAGGGAGGAGTGTAGGAGGAAGGAGGGGAGGGGAGGGCAGAGGAGGAGGAGGAAGTTCCACAGTCTAGTTCGCTCCCATCAGATCAGAGAGGAGGAACACACAGGACTTCCCTTTTTAAAAGTGCTTCTGTCCCTTTTCCTTTTGGCTCCTTCCCCCATGGACTGCGGACAGCTCGGCGAGTGGGCTGGGCAGGGGCAGGCGCCCAGGTACCCAGCCAACTGGGCTCTCGCCTGGCTCCATCGCCAGCCTGGCACGCTCCCTCGGGCCGTTACCCAGCATGCCCTTCTCCTTGTCAGGGAGGCCTCGCCCTCTTGTTTTCCAAGTTTTATAACAGTATTGTTTGTTGTCCAGCAGATTAAATTCTTCAGAGGCTGGGGGGGGAGGGGGAGGAGAGTGAGGAGGGAAAAAGAGAGTGGAGAGAAAACACAAATAACTTCTTTTAGGGCCAAAAGATTAAACAAATCCCTCTTGAACACCAAGTCCACCTGTCTTGGGGAGAGGCCGGTGGGGAGCGGCCCGCAGCCGGCGTTCCCTTCCCTGCTGCCTTTGCCCATCCTGGCAGGGGGACCTGTGCCTCAGACATCAGAGCACAGCACTCTGGCCTCAGGATCAGAAGTAACAGCTAACGAGGCCTGAGGCGTGAGGCATGCCTGGACGGCCCCCATCCCAATAAGATATATGCAGGGAGGGGCCAAGCTGGCCCCAGCAGGGACACTCTTGATCTGTACCTCCTCAGCTATCTGGCCCCTGGGCCAGAACTCAGGAGGGCACTGTAATCAGCACCCCACACTCTGGCACGCCCCCGACAGAACCACATTTCACCCATGCCAGCAACACTGGAGAACTGGGCCACAAAGGAGCAACAGAACCGCACAGGGGGAACACAGCGCTTCCTCCCTGGCACTCCATGCTGGACTGAACATACCTGTGTTACAGGAGCTGTGTTTGTACCACACGGGTAAGGTTCTGACTCTTGTTATTATTCCCTAACAATGTCACAACTGCTTGCACAGCCTTTACACTGGATTAGGTACGATAAGTAATCTGGAGACAATTTAAACTGTATGGGAGGATGTGTGTAGGTTAAATGTAAGTGCTCTGCCGTTCTACAGAAGGGACTTGAGCATCTGCAGATTTTGGAATCCAGTCCACTACAGACACTGAAGCCAGATTACGGTTACATATGCCTAAGGAATAGGGGAGTGGGTGATAGGAAGGAAAGGAGGAAAAGGCAGTAAGAAACAAGCATGGTCTTACAGACATTAACCAATGTCCCTCGCCCATCAGGCCTTTTGATGTAAACCTGCACCTACAGATGACAAAAGCATGCAGAACTTTCTGCACTGAATACAGCTCTCACTGAGCCACTGACTGCTTTATTTCAGGCCTCACAGAATGCCCACACCTGCCCTTGAGCCTTGAGCATCTCAGGCAATGTCTGTGGCTCCCAGAGCTGTGGGCCCCAGGACACTCCTCTGCCGCCTTCTGCCTTCTTCCCGCAAGCCATGTCCACGCTCTTCTTCCACACCACACTCACACCACGATGCCCACCAGAGGCCCCAGCAGAGAGGAATCAGCAGCGGTGAGCAGTGGCAACAGCACAAACAGAATTAGAGCAACTCAAGGGCTCCTTCCTTGAGAGAGGAGGGGCAGCTCTCCTGTCTGCAATTTGGATATGCAAATCACATCAGTTCCTGTAGGGTTGGGGCCAGAAGTTTTCCCTGCAAGAGGAAACAGGTTGGAGTCCTAGGTTCCAGGCACTCCCACAGCCTGGGACTTCCTCCATCAGCAGGGAAGAAGCGGGAGAGTTAAAAAGCAGGCTGTAGATCCTGGTACCCAAACTGCATGCTCCTCCCAGGAGGTCACAGAGTCCCACGGCCTCGGAACACAACAAAACCTGTCAGGAACATCCAGACTCCCTGTGTCAGACAGAGCCCTTGCTTTCCCTTGGGAACCCTAAGCAAAGGTGACACACAGCTCTACCTGCACCCTAAGTCACTTCCTTGCCATGGACTGGGTCTGTCCTCTTCCGACCTCAGGTGAGCAGAGAGAACCAGGTCCAACACAGCACATCTCTTCACCTGAGGCTACTGAAGACGTCCCTCCATCACCCACGCTCCTCGAATCCCCACTGCACAAGCCAGGCCTTGTTCCTGGAGCAGAGATGGACAGGCAGCCAGACACACTGCATGCCGCCCTGTTCACTACCAACTGCTCCTCAGGGGACACACAGAAAACCCCAAACCATTGCAACCAAACTTGCTATAGACAAAAACAAGCATGACTTCATCCCTTTACATGAATTCTGTGTTTCTTCAAGAGAAGGCCACTCAGAAAGCTGAATAAAGTTCAATACTCCTCAGCATCCCTTAAAATAGGGGTTGTGCCCAGGATCCCAGGCAGCCTGAAGCCTGTGAGCTCTCTCACCCGGATTCCTCTGCCCAGGCAAGGCTTCCCTTTGCAAGCCATCTGTGAGGCCAACAAGCAGACCTTGGGCCAGTGTTTCTCGGGTCTGACTTCATGTTTTCCACTTGCCAGCTTTTCCCGCTGTGCTACACATCAGCCAGCAACAGGTAACACGCACACCAGGCATCCTGTGCAAGGCCCAGGCATCCCAGACAGACTTGCTGGAAACATCTCAGAGATCCCACGATGAGGCCACCTTGCTAATGAGCTACATGCAACAGAAACACACCTCTGCGCACACGCATCCCCTGCCCTACAGAAGCGCAGGATGGCCGGAAGCACCCCACAGTCCAGAAGCTTCCACATGTAGACCTCCAGAAACACTTGGTGAGGCACTGGCTTCCCAGCCAGGAAGTATGAACCAGCTCCAACAAGAACTACAAAAAATTAAAGAATCCCAGAAAGGAGAATCTGGATACTGTGAGGTTTCCTTCCCTTCTAAAATGCAGAGAAGGAATCAGACGCCCTCAAAGGTCAAGTCCACTTCCAAAGACCCTAGTCCTGCCCAGGCCTACTGGTCAAATCCCACGGAAATGGCAGCTGGACCACAGGACCTGGGTGGGAGACCCCAAGTAAGCGGATTCAGCGGTCCATCCTGCCTTGCCCAGCTTCAGCAATGACAGGGCTGATGCTGCCTGTCTGCACTGGGTTGCCTGAAAATCATCAAATGTGGAAAAAAACTACGTGCTGATGATTACCAATCAATTCCATCCCATGCTGCCAGATGCTCTGCCCAAATCTTGCACCGTAGTGGGGGTGCGCAGGGCTCGAAGTCATAAATCCCAGGTAAGTGTCTGCTGGTGTGGCACCCGACAGTGACCTGATGCTGCGTCTGCATTCTGTGCAGCAGGTCACACAGCATTCCCCACAGCCCCAGGGCTTCCCACCCAAGACGACTTGGAGGAGTGGTAGACACTGGGGACTGAAACTGCCACAGAAGCCCGGCTGGAGTCCTGACCACCCCAGTCCCGCCTGCCCTGGGCTCTGGGCTTTCCTGCTTGTGTTTTCTGAGTTCTTTTTGAGACTGATTGCCAAAATGCAATGGGCAACTCTGAGAGCTTCGTGGCTTTGGTTTTTTTGTTTTTTTTTTTTCTTTCATTATCTTTTCTTAAGGTTATTTTTTAACAGAAGGCTTTAACAACCACAAAAACTAAATATAAAGGAAAACCTCTAGACTCACGGGCAGGCCCTAGAATGGATGCCCTCCCTCGATCCTCAATCCCGTCATGGCCAGGATTTAGCTCCAGATAACAGCTAAATCTGTAGCAGCCTGGCACCACCCTGCCCTCCAGCAGCCCTCCCATGGCCCGTTCCCCATGAGCCTCTCAGTGAAAGCTGCTATCACACCCTCCGTCACCAATCCCTCTGCAGCGCCTGCTCCTCCAGGACAGTCCTTCAAAACCTGTCCCCCCATCTGAATTCCTGCCTCTTT